TCCCGAAAATCCAAAAATCAGAAAATAAAAAACAGAAGAAGTAAAATTAGCGAAAAAATTGAACAATCCAAAAAATAAAAAAAATCCAAGAAATCAAAAAACCAAAGATACTCAAGAAATCCAATATTTCTAAATCCAAAAAACAGAAGAAGTAAAATTAGCGACAAAATTGAACAATCCAAAAAATCAAAAAAATCCAAGAAATCAAAAAACCAAAGATACTCGAGAAATCCAATATTTCTAAAAATCCCAAAAATGAAACAGCCCCAGAAATTAAAAAAAAGAAACAAAATTCCAAACATCCAAAAAAATTCAAAAAATCCAAGAAATGCAAGAATCCCAAAAAAGTCAAGAAATCCAATAATCCAAAATTGGAAAATAACCAAAAAAAAAAAGACAAAACTCAAACAATTTAGAAAATCAAAAAAATTAAAAATATATAAGAAACCTAAAAAAATCAAAAAATTCAGAAATCCAATAATTCCAAAAAAACAGTAAATCAAAAATATCCCAAAAATCCAAAAATCAGAAAATAAAAAACAGAAGAAGTAAAATTTGCGAAAAAATTGAACAATCCAAAACATAAAAAAAATCCAAGAAATCAAAAAACCAAAGATACTCAAGGAAGCCAATATCTCTAAAAATCCAAAAAATGAAACAGCCCCAAAAATTAAAAAAAGAAACAAAATTCCAAACATCCAAAAAAAATCGAAAAACCCAAGAAATGCAAGAATCCCAAAAAAGTCAAGAAATCCAATAATCCAAAATTGGAAAATAACCAAAAAAAAAAACAAAAAATCAAAGAATTTAGAAAATCAAAAAAATAAATATATAAGAAACCTAAGAAAATCAAAAAATTCAGAAATCCAATAATTACAAAAAACCAGTAAATCAAAAATATCCCAAAAATCCAAAAATTAGAAAATAAAAAAACAGAAGAAGTAAAATTAGCGAAAAAATTGAACAATCCAAAAAATCAAAAAAATCCAAGAAATCAAAAAACCAAAGATACTCAAGAAATCCAATATTTCTAAAAATCCAAAAAATGAAACAGTCCCAAAAATTAAAAAAAGAAACAAAATTCCAAATACCCAAAAAAATTCAAAAAACCCAAGAAATGCAAGAATCCCAAAAAAGTCAAGAAATCCAATAATCTAAATTGGAAAATAACCAAAAAAAAAAATCAAAGAATTTAGAAAATCAAAAAAATAAAAAGTATATAAGAAACCTAAGAAAATAAAAAAATTCAGAAATCCAATAATTCCAAACAACCAGTAAATCAAAAATATCCCAAAAATCCAAAAATCAGAAAATAAAGAAATTGAAGAAGTAAAATTAGCGAAAAAATTGAACAATCCAAAAAATCAAAAAAATCCAAGAAATCAAAAAACCAAAGATACTCACGAAATCCAATATTTCTAAAAATCCAAAAAATGAAACAGCCCCAAAAATTAAAAAAAGAAACAAAATTCCAGACATCCAAAAAAAATTCAAAAAACCCAAGAAATGCAAGAATCCCAAAAAAGTCAAGAAATCCAATAATCCAAAATTGGAAAATAACCAAAAAAAATGACAAAAAATCAAAGAATTTAGAAAATCAAAAAAATAAAAAATATATAAGAAACCTAAGAAAATCAAAAATATCCCAAAAATCCAAAAATCAGAAAATAAAAAGACAGACGAAGTAAAATTAGCGAAAAAATTGAACAATCCAAAAAAAAATCCAAGAAATCAAAAAACCAAAGAAACTCACGAAATCCAATAATTCTAAAAATCCAAAAAATGATACAGCCCCAAAAATTAAAAAAAAAGAAACAAATTCCCAAACGTCCAAAAAAATCCGAAAATGCCAAGAAACCCAAGGAATAGAAGTCCTCTTTTTTATGGTTAATGACCTATTTAAATTCGACGAAATAACTTCATTCTTCCGGCGTACATGCAACCAATAAAAGAATGTGCCAAGATGAATAAATGTAAATATCGAAAACTAACGATGAGACATAAAATTTTGTATAAACAACTATTCAAGTTCAAAATAATACACTCATCCACTTGTGATTTATGAATTCGCCTTGAGTTTTTCTCCACTTCAGTCAATTGGTGAGTCTGTTATTTGCCAAAATCGGTCTTATTTTAGTACCCTTTTCTTAGGGGGTATTTCATTTGCCAAAATCACTCTATATCTTAGCAGGTCTTAGTCCCGCCCACCCACCCTCTATTTTCTTAGCGGCTATGTGATTTGCCAAAATCGATTTTATTTTAGCAAGTACTAAATATATTTTCCTAGAGGGATTTCATTTGCCAAAATCAGTTCTATCTTAGCAGGTACTAGCCCCGCCCACCCGCCCGCACTTTTTTACAAGGTATCTCATTTGCCAAAATCAGTCTTATCTTGGCAGCTACTAGCCCCGCCCACCCATCCTCTTTTCTTAGAAGGTATGCCATTGCCAAAATCAGTTTTATCTTAGCAAGTACTGATGACTAATATTTACAAAAAATGATCAAAATTTTGAAACATTACGAGCTTACTTATAATAAATAAAATTATTTCATTGAAATTTTATAATTTTTCGAAAAATCTGGATATGTTGTGCTATTCTTCAGAGGCGGGGGAAGCCCTATCGAAATAGCTTTCGACCAACTTTTTGATTTTTCTCGAACTTACACTTGTGAACTTTGTTGTACTCGTATACTGTCGAGTTGTTATGCTATTTTTTGAATAACCTGTATATTTCGGTGAAATCGTTCTAGAAGAATTCAGTTTCGGAATAAAATGTTACAGAAATTTGATGTAAGGATTGAAGTTGGTGAAAGAAAAAATTGAGTCAGACAGCTTTAGATAAATTCAGTTTAGAAGGAGTAGACAAAAAGATGAAGAAATTGATCAAGGTGAACCAACAAAACCAATAAGGTGAAGAAAATTTTAGAATGGTCAAAAACCAGAAGTGACCTTATGGAAAAATTTTAGTCAAAAGGCATTAAACTTCGTATTTCAAAACATAAGCATAATAAAAAAGTTCTAAAACATTCCTTTCGTCGATGTAGACGATCCTCCAGGTGATTGAACACCAAAGAGGTCTAAATTCTAGAAATGGATTACAACAACAGTCAACAAAATTCTCAGACATTCCGTCGAGGAAATGAATAAAAAAATTCTGGCTCTGCTTTGTATATAACAATTTAATCGGGAAAAAGCGAACAAAATCTTTAAACATATATAATATATATATATTCTTTCCCCAGTGACAAAATGAAATTTCGATATTGTAATTATGATTTAGTGAGAAAATAGGTCACAGTTACGCCACATTTGGATTTTTGAAAGAATTGCAACTCGTAGTGAATGTCTAATGCCTAATCAGTGTTCAACAATTTTGAAACATTGTTCACATGAGAGGTAATTTGTGAATCGATGCAAAACTAACAGTTTAATTACAAAATTAACTGCTCTAACTCTCTATATGTGCGTGACGAAACGCACGCCTCACATGTAACGAAAGAACCATCTACACTTTGGGTCAGTTTGATGGTTTTCCGAAAAATCCTTTTGTACATTTCTAAATCCACCTAACAACAACACTTGGACTTTGTCGCTCATTTTCAAAGCAACGACGACATCACCTACCTACCTATCAACTTATTACATCTGTATGTATGACCATCTCCATGTCATCCCGTCGGACTAGTTCTACGAAATGATTATTGCACGTCCAGTTAGACGTAAGACGTCTTCTTCACTTTGGAAATTCTAGACCGGTTGTCATTACACGGATTAAAATAACACAGGGAGTACACCTGCAACGACTCGCAGGTAAAAATGTGAGCATTGACCCAAGTTCAGACAATCAAAATGGAAACGACGTGATTTACGGTCGGAGAGATAGTGAAAGCCACGCGTTATCGACATTGTTGGTCAAAACTGTGACCAGGAAGAGGTTAGTGGTCTTTTCCTTTCGACATTATCATTCGGTGGCGATAATGACATGAATTCGGTGAGAAATATGCGTACCCTGCGTGACAACGACAGAGGAAAGTAGCACTTTTCTAACGAACACAAGAAACTAATTGGAGGTAGAGGAAACCGAAGATAATTATTCAGTGAAACTCCATAGTCTAATTTTATCGTCGGCGGAATCGCCGCGACATTTGCATTATGGTTGACTAATCTTTTGGACCAGTTCGGTTTTCGTAACCCATCTGTCTCCTGATGTTACGAAACGAGTTTTTACGATTAAAGTAATGTCACATTTTGATGGAATCTGGAAAAATAAAAAAACATGTACACTTAAACAGTTTTCGCGCTCGTTTATGACGCACGTGACGTCAGTACCACTTGTATTTAAAACGCCACCCAGATCTTTCGCCGTCTAGCCACCCAATTACCATACCGCCCAGATCAGCCCATGGTATGCAATAATCGCCGGTGATTACCCAGGCCGATTTCCCCATTCCGAGGTCTAATTGGGCACCGGCTCAATCCAGAATTTCGTATTTATGATTGCAATTACCGTAACCCAGTTCTTGCTCAATCCATCACACCCAATTACACCCCATCACGTAAAAATCCGGCGCGTTTTTAACGGTCCATCGCGAATGCCGAGTCGGTTTCTCTGTTTAATTACGTGTGAAAATGGTCGATTTATTCCAGTAATGGAACGGTTACTCGCATAAAAACGCCTGGCCCAGATCAGTCGCCGATAAATAAGACTCAGGGCGCAAAGGACCGCTCTAACGGAACTGTGAACTCGATTATGCATATTAGCGCTTCTTGAAGATGCAATTTATCACAAAACGGATTATTTTAATTTCGCTCGCAAAAACGACAAAAACGGAGAAGGCGCTGCGTGCTTAAGTGATGGATGCGCGATGGGCATGGGTCACGTCACGCTTGAGGATTATTAATATGAATTAAGTACAGTGACGTCGCCATAGACATAAAAAATATACAACACTTGGTGACGAAATTGTTGAATGACCAATTTTTTGTTTTTGTTTTCCAGTGGACTGAGCCCCTCTTCGACGGGCCGAGGCGTCACCCCCGTGTACCTGCGCTGCTCGGCGGGAAAGGTCACGTGGTTGTACCCCCGGGGCGCCCTGCGCGTGCTGCTGCGCCTCCCGGGCCAAGACCGCGAGTTCCGGGCCTGCATCAAAGTGCATTCCGACGGCAAGAAGGACCCAGCGGCTCGCTTGTTCCTCGAAGGGCCGCGCTCTCTTCTGCCGCTGTACTCGCACTCCGACGGTGGGAATAAAGCCATCAGGTTGGTGCCACCGTCTACGCGCATTTTTCTTCAGATAACATCGCTTAATTACAGGTGTTTCAACAGTAAGAATGGCCAAGCAGCCATCTATGTGGAAGCCGCGGATGTGGACGCGGTCACGAAGAGAGTGGCGGAAGTGGATTATGACCTGCAAGCTCTGCCCAAGGGGGTGCGGGGGTTCGACCCTACTGAAGGTGAGGATAGTGTTGGATCACTCCTACATATTCAACTTGTCATTAAACTTATCTTTTAATGAAGGAATTATGAAAAATCTGAAGTTGATTGTGGTGAATTCTCAGAAGAAAGTCATAAAGTGGCAATAGAACACAAGCTAATGACTCGCAGACCATTATTATTGCTGTTGTTATTCAAGTCGTGTCATATTGTTGAATTAGTCGTTCGTTAATATTCAGCACTTATTGTGTCTTGTTTGTTGATTTATTTCTTTATTATTGTTATATTTGAATTGCCAAACACGATGTGTACAATCGCACGCAAATGTTTTGAGCCTATGGGCGGATCGTTTTTGCCTGCCCTCACCGAAGAAGGCGGTCCAAATCCTTCAAGGGCGGAATTTGTAGGTAGGCTCAAACTACAACGAAATTCACATTTTACCCTATAAAATTTTATTGACAATAACGGGACGGACAGTAGTTATATATACATTTGGTAAGAAATATTTATGGCTCACACCAGTTCTCTCGAATTTGTCGGAGAAGATTTAGCAGGTAGTTGTTCCCATAAAATAATGGTCACTTTCGTTCGTGAGTAACGATGGTCCGGACATGAATTATTTTGCTTTCTAACATCTTTCGACCAATTGTTCCGTATAAAAAATTTCATCACTTTTTCAAATAAAATACTCTTAAAAAAAAAACGATATTGTCGTTGAGTGACATGTAACTGGCATAAAAATAAAAACGTGTCATTTTTGTTAACTGATATTTTTTTCATAAATGTCGCAAAATTATTAAATTTGTATAATCATCCCCACCAATAATGTGATGACGTCACTTCAAATTTATACATAGTAAATGGGTTTTAAATTGTATACAGTACCATAGTCCTACACATGTAGTTTATGACTCCGTGTTGAGTTTTTATCCAAAACGTCTAGATTTTTGGAAAAAAAATCAAAATTATAAAACAATATTTTGCAATTTAATTTTGAATTTGCAAAATCGAATACTTTGAAATCTTGCAGATGTTTTAAAATCATGATAAACATGATACATTTTTAATTAAAATATATTTGCTTATCCCCTCTAAAAAAATTATGACGTCACCTCAAAATTTTGCAGAATAAATCCTATCTTAAATGTATAAAATATGATGAGTTTTATACTTGTGCTTTATCACTGTATTAATATTTTTTAGATTTGGTTATACAGGGTGTCTCAAAAAAGTTAATGACTGAGTCAATTTATTTTATTGAAAAAATCAAGAATAGCAAAACTGAATACTTTGAAATATTGTAGATGTTTTGAAGTTTTTGTAAGCATGGTAACTTTTTCGAAAATTTGATTAATCAAATATGCGCAAAATCAAAAATCGGAAAAACTGAAATTCACTAATGCAAAAAACAGAAAATCGAAAAATACAAATTGTAAAAATCGACAATTGAAAAACGGGAAAACCAAAAAATCGAAAAGTCAAAAATTTGTAATATTGAAAATTAAAAAAATCAAAAACAAAAATAAAAAAATCGGAAATTAAAATAATCAAAATATATAAAGTAAAAAAAATTCCAAAGCCTAAAAACTGAAACGAACAGAAAAATCGAAAAAGGAAAAAATTGGAAAAACAAAAATTCGAAAAATCTAAAATCGAAAAAGTGGAAAATGGAAAATCTGAATAAAGAAACTTGAAAATTCTGAAAATTGGAAAATCGAAAACCAAAAAATCGGAAAGTAGCAAAATTGAAGTCTAACAGTTGAAAATGGAAAAATTGAAAAACCGAAAATTCTAAAAATCGGCAATGGACAAATTGAAAATCGCAAAATTTAAATTGAAAAATTGAACATAGAAAAATCGATGAATTGAAAAATCGAAAATTCAACTACTCTAATTTTCTAAAAATCGGAAAATCATAAAACTGAAAAATCCAAAATTCTAATCATCGAAAGTCTGAAAACTGAAAATCGAAAATTCTGAAAAGCGGAAAATAGAATATCGAAAAATTTAAAAGAAAGAAACTTGAAGTCTAAAAACCGAAGAATGGAAAAATTAAAAATCAAAAATTCGAAAAATCAAAACCGAAAAATTCAGATTTAAAAAGAAAATCGAAAAATCAAAAATCTGAAAATTGAAACTCGAAAATTTGGAAAATCGAAAAGTAAAAAAATTGAAGTCTAAAAGCTGAAAAATGGAAAACTGAACAATCGAAAATTCGAAAATCAAATATCGAAAAATCGAAAAGCCGAAAAATCGAAAATTTGATAAATCAGATATGCGAAAAACAGAAAATCTGAAAATACAAAACTGGAAAATCAAAAATCTAAAAATGGAAATTCAATGAATCTAATACGTATGTCGATCGAAAAACTGGAAATTCACAAATCTGAAAAATCGAAAATTTGCAAGATTGAAAAACCGAGAATTGAAAAATCAAAAAACCCAAAAATGGAAAAATCAAAAATCGAAAAATAGGAAAACCGAAAATTCGAAAATTCATAATATTGAAAACTCTAAAAGTCGACAATTCAAAAATCAAAAAACTGGAAAGTAAAATAATCGAAAAATCGAAAAGTAAACAAATTGCAAAGCCTAAAAACTGACGAACAGAAAAATCGAAAAATCGTAAAATCAAAAAGTGGAAAATCAAAAACTGGAAATTGAAAAATCGAAGATTGGAAAATCGAAAAATCGCAAATCGGAATATCGAGAATCGACAAATTAAAAAACCGAAAAATCGAAAAATTAAAAAATCGGATCGAAAAATGAAAAAAGAAACGAAAATTAAAAAATCGAATAATCCGAAACTAAAATAATAGAAAAGTGGAAAAGTAAAAATTGCAAAGTCTCAAAACTGACGAACAGAACAATCGAAAAATAAAAAAAAACCGAAACATCTAAACATGGAAAATCGAAAAATCGAAAATCGGAAAATGGAAAAACCGAAAAATCGAAAACCGAAAACTCGAAAAATCGAAAATTCCATGAAACAAATACTCGAAAAAACGAAAAGTAAAAAAATCGCAAGGCCTAAAAATTGAAAAATCAAAAAATCGAAAAAACGACGATCGAAAAAAATCAAAAAATCGAAAAGTGGAAAATCGGCAAGTAACAAAATTCAAATCTAAAAGCTGCAAATTGCAGAACCATAAAAACTGAAACAAACAGAAAAATCGAAAAACCACAAAAGCGGAAAAACGAAAATCGAAAAATCGCAAATCGAAAAATCGTAAAATCAGAAAATGGAAAATCGAATAATCGAAAGTTGGAAAATCGAAGGTCGAAAAATAAAACAACCGAAAAATCGAAAAATTTTATGATTAATGGAAAATCGAAAAATCGAGAATAGAAGAATTAAAAAACCGGAAAATTGAAAAATCGGAAATCGAAGAATTAAAAACGTAAAATCGAGAATTCAAAAATCAAAAAAATCGGAAAGTAAAATATAATCGAAAAATGCAAAAAAATTGCAAAGTCTAAAAACTGACGAACAGAAAAATCAAAAAATCTAAAAATGGAAAGACGAAAAATCGAAAATTGAAAGAATGGCAAATTAAAAAATCGAAACATCGAAAAATCAAAAAAACGAAAAATTAAAAAATCGAAAAACGAAAAAACTGAAAACTCGAAAAATCAAAATACCCCAAATTTGAAAAATCAGAAAATTAGAAAATAATGAAATCGAAAAGTTGATAGAAAATCGAAGTGACCTTTTTTTGAGACAGGCTGTATAAGTAAATCTAAAAAATATTACTGCAATGATAAATCACAGGTATAGAATCATCATATCAAATTTTACGATGACGTCATGCATTTTTTGGCGAAGATAAACAAATACATTTTGATCGTGGCTTTGAAAGTATTCTTCGACTTTCGTTCCATTTCAAAATTTACTCTTTGTATATTTCAGTGGTCACAACGAGTTCACTAACTACGCTGAAGTATGCAAAGATTAAATTTGTCACCGAAAAGATGTTGGAAGTAATAAATTATCCTATCGGTCGAAGAACGTTTGGTCCGGTGTTACACCTCGACCCAAGAGAGACCGCAGTAAAGGATAACAAATGGAACGGATAAAATAAAGCGTCAAATATGATTGATAAACTTTAAACCAAAATTATGAAGTTTATAAACTGAACATTTTTTTTGCTTTTTGAAATGTAGTACACTTCAAAAAATGTCCGTGACTTACTTTAATGTGAATTTTATAACTATGGTCGGCACAATTAGACCTAATATTAGTGTGATTTTGAGCGTATTCTCGATGTTATTAGAGCAGGAGAGGTTTTTTTTTCTAACTAATTGACAAGATTTCAAAGTATTCATTTTTGCAATTCTTGATTTCTTCAATAAAATAAATTGACTCAGTAATTTTTTTTTTGAGTCACTCTGTATGCGTAAACAAATCCAAAAAATATTAATGGAATGGTAAATCACAAGTATATTCTGAACATTTTAGATAGGGTATTTATAAAATTAAAACTAATTCAGGGTAAGAATTTGGTCAACACGTAAATTTCGTTGTAGTTTGAGCCTACCTACAAATTCTGCCCTTGGACGATTTGGACCGCCTCCTTCGGTGACGACCGGCAAAAATGATCCGCCCATAGGCTCAAAACATTTGCGTGCGATTGTACATGTATTGTTGAAAATGAGTAGTTCCAAAGCAAATCATGAGCTAACCCAAATTTTAAAAAATCAAAAAAAACTTGAGAGTGAAAAATTAGTGAAAAACTAGGACTGCAGTTTCTCAGCAAATGGTTGGTACCAAAAATCTCCCTAGATAATGTCGGTTGAGTTTTCGTACTGTTGTCGATTGAGTGGTCTTTTAATTTTTGCACAGATAATATAATAGTTTTGACAGTGCAGAATGAATTGGCTTTTCCTGTGGGTCACACACAACTATAAAGATCGGTTTTATTCAAATTAGCCGCAAAGCAAGATACAATTGTCTATTATGCAAACGTCTAACAGACCTCTCCGCTTCCGTCACTTTCTTCGTCATTATCAACCTAACTACAAAATAATTTCGTCAAACACCTGCTCTCGCTTTGCAATAAAAAGCCGCATCATTTAATCAAACGAATTTGATCGTGTGATAATGACCCCACGTATCTAATAACCCAACAATTTCACACGACCGTAATACCAATCTACAACTGGGAAAAACAAACCCCCCTACTTATACAGGATGTTATGTAACGCAAGCACTTGCAATAAAATCTGCATATACACGATAAGGGTTCCGAAGGAAATTTTCTTTTTACAATCGGTGTGGGATCATGGGAAACTAGTTTAAACCGCTCAGAGAAAGCGGCAGAAACTAATTGAATGCTGCAATTTTTGCTAATTTATTCCTGTTTTTTGCAGAATGTCGACCGTGTACAAGCGAGGAATTGGCGCACGCATTCTGCACCAGTGATCTTGGTAAGTACTGCATCGGTACACGACGGAAACACTGAAAACGTTGCATTATGCTAATTGTAGCAATTAAAGTGTCACCGGGTGTTATTTTGAGGTTGGCAATTGACGTGAGAGTGCCGCTTACGAGAAAACAATAATTAAAGGAAAAGTGAAACGCGATGTCACCTTGACGCTCTTATTGTCTTGGCAACGTCACTAACAGAAGCCAGAATTGTCAAAAATGAACGACGAAACCACCGTGGAGCAGCTCCACGACTTCTTGAGCAAAGAGCGCGAGAAGGCCGAATTCACCGCCCAGATCCACGAATTCAGCGAATTGTGCTGGGACAAGTGCGTGGAGACCACAGGCAAGAAGCTTGACAGCAAAACAGAAACCTGCTTGACAAACTGCGTGAACAGATTCATCGACGTCTCGCTATTTATAACCAACAGATTCGCTCAACTGCTAGAAAAGCGAATTAACATGTAACGACACCAAATTGCAATAAATATCAGAACTGGCGTGACGAGATTAATTGCGCAAATTTTCTGGAAGCGCTGCTTCTACTTAGCACGTCATTAAGAGCAGTTAGGTTAATCGCAAATTGCTGTGCGTCCAGGTTGCACTCCGCTTCATTAACCATAACGGAAGATTTTTTACGACCTGACGAAAGTGCACATGCATAACTTTCCTGTTTTTGACGAAAAATGCAATTCCGGGGTCTCCTGGACGCACAGAGTTGCTTTCCACGGGTAAGCGTAGCCCTAAAGCAATATAGTTGATAAAATTGGCCCCCGAGAAGACCGTTGTGTATCCCCCGTGCATACGGCGAAACCTTTTTAGTTTTGACTCACGTGCTATTGATTAATTCTAGTTATACCATTGGGCCCGAACGAGGCCGCTGCGTCTATATTAATTTCGACCCATCTTGGGCCCATTACCCGCACACTTTCCGCCAGACGCCTGTACGCCCGACTGGGCCCATTAATGAATTTTCGGCCGAATTCCGGGTGGTCTCCGACAGGAAAGACCTAATTGCGGCTGCATAATTTTTTGTTTTCGCCACCGAGTTCAGCAGTTAATTGATTAGTAGCGAGGAAAGTGGGCCCGCGGCACTCGAGCGCACAAAACTGTTAATTACAGAGAAAATGGTAATGAGGATCTGGCCGATAATCCGGCGTTTCGCTTAAATAAATAGCTTGCAAGAATTAAATATGGAGCCAGCGTGTGCCCCCGGGAGCTGGTTGTGTCCTGTTATGGCAACGTGTTCTAGACGAGGAGCAAAAGGAAAAAATCGCACGAGCTGCGCGTCACCGGAAGGTAAATGATGTGGTCGAAAGGAGCGGCGGACGCCCACTGGGACAACAATGGGTTGTGTAATTCTGGCGCCTTGGGACGGCTCGGGTGGAGGCAGATTTTTAGTTTGTTGGAGTTATAAGTACAGTGTTCAAAAGTCTAGTGGGGCAGGGTTTTGGAAAAAATGTCCTGCGCTGTTGCTACGCTGAAAAATGACTCCGTTGCGTTGTGAAGAATAGGCTACATGCATGCAGAATTGATTATGCTTGAGGTGGTAGGGAAGTTCCGTTCAAATAACTTTGGAGCAATTTTTTGGAATTATTTACACAGGATGACTAAAAAATTAATGAATAGTTAAAGCAATTACGGCCTGACATGCACGAGATATTAGTCACGCTTCATAGGGCGAGGACGTGCTCTCTAATCCAATTTTTGTTAACAACGAAGAAACTCCATAAACCTCGCGTCATTTCTACCATTCTATTAATTTATTCCCCTTTGTAAATCACATTAGTTTGTTTTCATACTTCGTAAAAGCTCACAACAAAGTGCCTCCATAAAAGCCACTCAAACAAATCGCCTCTAATAGATTCACGCTGTATCCACAATCAAAAACCAATCAAACTCTCCAACAATAGATTGTTACGTAGCTGCAAATCTATAAAGCCACCTAACGAACATCTGCGTGTACCTAATCCCTCTTCATGCTCCTCCACTTCGAACTTTCGAAACGAGTTCACCTCAAGCCTGATTTCTTCTTTATAGCAAACCAGATCAATCATAACGCCCACCGCCTAACGCAAGAACAATAGGTTTAACGCATCGAAGCCAGAGGTGATACGCTACGATTCGAAGTCTTCTAATTGCTCATTGTTACAAATGCCCTGGTGGCAATTAATCAGTTTCGTTTTTGCACTTTCATCATTTCATCCGTTATTAAAATCTACAATGATTCATTCCTTTGTCACCGCTGATCGCTGGCACGCAGCTCGCCTTTCTTCTTCCTCGGTTCGAGGAATGCCATCCAATATTTGTTTTTCGATACGGATTTATTACACTATTTACAAGAGATAAAAACGGTTTTATTTCTTGCTTAAAAGCACTCGAGTCCAGGGCAAATACTAGCCTACTGTTGACTCAGTATTACTTATCGGTGTTTAATTTAGATTAATGTGGTTCGAGGTGATGTGGATATGGGCCGGTAATGGGCTTGCCATCGCCATCTGCGGCAAATAGAGATAGCCGAAACGGCGGAAAAATGCCATGGTTGTGATAAGGATGCTAAATAATCTTCATTAGGATTAATGTTGTTTGCCAAGGTACTCGACGAAAAAGGAAGTGCTTTAAGACGTGGAAAGTACCCATGGCCTGTTTTCGTCTTACGGGTCTAGTGGTCGAAAATTACCATGACCATTCGCAAACATCGCTAAATGTGGTACCGATATGAACATAGTTTCGTCTAATGCTAAAAAATAGTTTTTGTAGATCAAAAAATCAAGGTCACATGAATTTATCCGGTGGTCAGCAAATCTTTTTATATACGATTTCATGTTTCCTCTGAAAATATTAATTTTTTGTCCACCACGTCAGAATTTTGGGAAATTTTCAAAATTAGTGTTTTCTAAAACGCACTCTTTCCTAAGGATCTGATGATAAAGAAGAATTTAGTCGACTTTGGACTAATCTGTACAAATATTTTCAATATTTTTAAAATTTTCGACTACGTACTGCTACTTTCAGACTTCAGAGGCAAACTTTTGCAGGAATTAATTATTTTTTTATTATAGCGAGAGTAATTTCCACTAAGGAAAACTACAGTTTCATTGTATATTTTCTTTTTCAATAAGCTATGAGCGTTAAAATTATAAATGCAATATATTAAACCACTAAGAAAAATTCCTCTCACAACCTCATTACATTTTTTGTGGGATTAAATAGAGAAATTTTGGTTAATGCCAAGTAGTTTCAGTGATATCTGTCTAATAAAATCACTGCCAAATAGACAGAAAACGGGAGACCTACCCAACTGTATTTTTTATGTAAAACCTTCTCGGGGGCCCCCAATGTATTGTTTTTAAGAATATGAAACCTTCTCGGGGATTCCAATTGTCTTTTTTAAAAATGTAAAACCTTCTCGGGGGCCCCAAATGTATTTTTTTTCAAGAATGTGAAACTTTCTCGGGGATTCCAAATGTATTTTTTTCTAAGAAAGTGAAACCTTCTAGGGGATTCCAACTGTTTTTTTTTTTTAATGTAAAACCTCGATGGCCCCAAATGTCTTTTTTAAAAATGTAAAACCTTCTCGTGGGCCCCAAATGTCTTTTTTTAAGAATGTGAACCCTTTTTGGGGGTCCCAACTGTCTTTGGAAAATTAAAACTTTCTGAGAGGCGCCAAATGTCTTTTGTTTATGTGAAACCTTCTCGAGGGTCCTATCTTTTTTTAAAAATGTGAAATTGGGAAACCGATTTTTTTTAAATTTCAAATTGTTCAATGTTTAGCTTTCCAGTTTCTCAATTTTTCAATTTCCCAATTTTGCCTCATTTCAATTTTGGAATTCTCGAATTTCTGGATTTTTCAGATTTTCAATTTTTGCAATTTTAAATTTTTAATATTGGAGGATTTTGATTTTTCAATTTTCGACTAGTAAGTTTTACGTTTTTCGATTTTTAGATATCTTTTCCAATTTTAGATTTCTCAAAATCTCAACATTTTAATTTTTTGAACTTTTCAATTCTTCTTTTCAGTTTTGGGATTTTTCAATTTTTCTATATTTTAATTTTTCAATTTTAAAATTCTTGATTTCCCGATTCCTAGACGATTTGTCGAGTTCTCGATTGTTTACCCTTCCGAATTTTTAATTTTTCGATTTTTAAATTTTAGTTTTATCAATTTTTAGATTTTTAAATTAGATTTTTCGTTTTTAATTTCAAGTTTTTGAATGTTTAGCTTTTCAATTTTCCAATTTTTCCTCATTTCAATTTAACAATTTTCGAATTTCTCGATTTTTCAGATTTTCGATTCTTCGATTTCCCGATTTTTCACTTTTGTGTTTTTGATTTTCAACTTTTTTGCAATTTTAAATAACATTCGAATATTTTGATTTTTTAATTTTTCGATTTCTTGACATCCTGGTTTTTCGATTTTTAAAATTTTTCGACTTTTCGATTTCTTTCCAAGTTTTCGATTTCTCAACATCTCAACATTTCAGTTTTTTTAACTTTTGAATTTCTTTATTTTCATATCTTCAATTTTTTGATTTACAATTTTTCGGTTTTCAATTTTTCGATATCTCAGTTCTTTCAGTTTTGGGATTTTTCAATTATTCGAGATGTCAATTTTGGGCTTTTTCAATATGTTGAGTCTTCAATTTTTCGACTTTTCGATTTTAAATATTAGATGTATCAATTCTAAAATTTTTGATTTCTCAATTTTCTAGATTTTTGGAGTTCTGAATTGTTTACCTTTTCGAATTTTCATTTTTCCGATTTTTAAATTTTGGATTTATCAATTTCTCGATTTTTTGATGTTTCAATTACCCAATTTTTCGTCATTTCAGTTGTGGCATTTTCTAATTTTTCGTTTTTTTCAGATTTTCGGTTCAATTTCCGGATTTTTTAATTTTTTGATTTTTTAATATCTCGGTTCCTCGATTTTCAATTTTTCAGTTCTTCGATATTTTATTTTTCAATTATTGGAATTTTAAATTTTTAACATTTGAGTAATTTGATTTTTCAATTTTTCGATTTCTTGACACCTCCGTTCCTCGATCGATTATTAAAATTTTTCGACTTTTCGATTTTTAGATTTCTTTTCAAGTTTTGAATTTTACGATTTTTCAATTTTTCGCATCTTCAGTTTTTGATTTGCAGTTATACCAGTTTTTTTAATATGTGTCATATTTAAAAAAAATCCAGTGTGTGAATTTTACGGTTTTAAATTTTTATACTTTTCCGTTAGTGGGTTTTAAAACTTTGATATTTATTCAATTTTTCTTTTTTTTTTAAGTTTTTCAATGTCTCAGTTTTTTTACTTCTTCAGTCCTCCGATTTGCAAATTTTCGATTTTCCACTTTTTTCCAATTTTTTGGTTTTTCGATTTTTTCATTTTTCCGAATTTTCAACTTTTCGAAACAAAAAAAATTAAAAAACTGTAAAACCATACAATTGAAAAATCGAAAGATTAAAAATCGGGAAACTCAAAAATCGAAAAAACAAAATTGGGAATTGAAATACCGAAAATTAAAAGAAATCGGAAAATCGAGGATTTGAAAAAGTAAAGATTAAAAAGTTGAATAAACGAAAAACTGTGATATAAAATAGAGAACTTAGAAAAATGGGGAAAAGAAAAATTGACAAAAGAAAAGTTGTAATATAAAATAAAAAAATTAAAGCTGAAACACAAATAAATTGTGATGTCAAAAAATTAATCGAAGGTAAATAAGTGCCAGATTTTTTGGAATATAAGATTTGATCTTGTGATTTTTTTATGAAACCTATGAAAGTTAAAATAAAGATATGTATGTAATGTTGTTACACAATTTTAATTTTTTTCTAATACATCTAAATGTCTATAAATCGACATGGACAGACGTAAACGGATACTAATCCTGATTTGGCACCTCACCCGACTTGATTTGACTCCTGACATGAGCTGATTTGGCGCCTAACCTGACCTGATTTGGCGGTTGGCCTAATCAGGTATCTGATCTGACTTGTTCTACAGTCTGGCCTGACCTGACCTAGCGCCTAAACTGACCTGATCTAACCTGGCGCCTGACCTGACCGGAGCTGGCACGTGACTTGACCTGATTTGGAACCTGACTTGGCGTGGCACCTGACTTGAGCTGGTTTGGAACCTGACTTGATCTGCCTTTTGACTTGCTTGGCATTTTACTTGGCCTAGTTTGGCGACTAACCTAACCTAATTTGGCACCTGACTTGATTTGGATCATCGCCTGACTTGGCACATCACTTGACTTTGTTATCACATGGCTTGACCTGATTTAGTACTTCACCTCATTTGACCTGATTTAGCAATTTGGACGTGAAGCACCACCTGATCTGATTTGACGCCACACCTGACATTATTTGGCATCTGGTCTGCCTTGATTTGACACCTGACCAAAACTGGTGTCTGACCTGCCCTGACCTGATCTGGCACCCGACCTGATCTGATCTAGCGCTGGACCTAAACTGATGTGGCGGCTGACCTGACTTGATCTGGAATCTGACCTGACCTAACTTGAGCCTGATGAGATTTGATTTAGCATCTCATTTAACCTGACTTGACTTGGCACCTCACCTCGATTGACCTGATTTAGCACCGAACATTTTTATCTTATAATACGTATATACCTTAGGCTCAACAAGTAGAAAGACTTTTTGGATTTTTGATACCGAAACACATTTATTTGACGAGTTAATGCAACAGAAAGTGCACTTTACATAATGCACATCATGAACTTTCACGTCAAATTCTAAAAATACGAAAATACCAATATTTGACCCTGGAACGAATCTAGCGAGAAATCCAAAAGGCTAAAACTTAATCCTTGGATGCGGACTGCGTGTTCCTATACATATAATTATCCTTATTACTGGCACGTAGCAAAGTACAAAGTTTATCACGAACAGTGGTTAAAATCGCAAGTACACAATTTAAAAATGCGCCATAAGCACTTTATCAACCAAAGTAGAACGCTTGAAAATTAACGCAATTTTTTCTTTACAGTGACTCGGGGCATTATCCACGGTGTGGAGAACCACGACGAGCTCGAGGTGTCCCAGATGGCCGTCAAAGTGACGAAACTCATCCGCCACACCGTCGACGACGCCTTCACCACCGACAACAGCATCCCCGACGAGTCCGCGCACGACTCCCTCCAGGAAGTCACCCTGCACGTGGCGCAGCACTGCGGGGTGTCGCACGGGATCGGCGAGTTCGTCTTCATGGCGAGGCGCAAGCTGGGCGACCTCACCCTGCAGTGCGCCCCCCGGCTGGAGGACTGGGCCCTCCTGGTCAACCAGCTGTCCGAAGAGGGCAAGGCCCACTGCGTCTTGCGCAGTTAGCCCCCACTCACCAAAGTAACTTAAGTGCGCTTCTGTGATCTGTACATATGTAAAGACTTGAATGCGACGGTGCTTAGCAAAACTTAAGCCGGATTTCAGGGGACTGCTGTGCAATAGTTGGCAATAAACGACCGTCCTGGAATGTTTTGTGCTTGTACATAGAGGTGCTCCACATTGGAGCTTGGATTCTTTATTCGTGTAATATTCTGAGCTTCCATAGAGTTATGGTTATTGAATTCTTGGTGCCAAAATAGAGCCGCTTTCTACAGTTTCACTTGACTAATCCTGTACTTGTAATTACTTTTGTAAAGTTGTCTTAATTATGTGTGTACATAAAAGTATTGTTTGGATCTCACGTTGTGTAAAAATGAAATCTTATTGTTCCTAGTACTGAAAAACTGGTAAGATTTCGTTTTTTTATTTTTATGATAGAGTTTTTAAAAGATCTGTTGCTTAAGAAAGAATGCCATAAATGACTTCTGTGTGGACAGAACGCTGTGATATGTAAAATATATTTTTATTGAATTGTATTGTTTGCAAAGAAATATATAAATTTTAAATTAACACGTGTTTCATTATGTTGTAATTAAAGGAATGAAAAAGAATGATTGTTTTTCACAAGGACGTCTCTGTGGTGAAAAACGCGGGAATTTTCGACAGCCTGTCAAACAAAAAATTAACATTCGTTTGTCAGTTAAGGTCGATTTTTCTTTCCTCACTCTGCAACCTTGTGTGTACATTTTGCATTTGCCGCCTCTCTGTTTACGAACTGTTAAACCCAAATTTGACCCTTCTCCGCACCGTCACCAGCAGATGTGCGCATCAAGTCAAAGCCCCAAGACAACAAAATCCTTCACAGAAACGCATAATAGCCCAACATATGCCAGCGCTGATTCATAGAATAACTACAACAACTGTAAAAAATAGTTCCTGGTCTCTTTAGAACCGCATCTCTGGTTTGTTATTGCTGGCTGACAAAAACCGCTTCCGCGAAAGCATTGAGATCATCCAAACACTGCCATAATTGGTTTAATTGCAACGACTTGTAAATTTTTATGTGCGACGATGCACACTTGAGGTTCTGGTGGCTTTTTTCTTCGACTTCCTCCGGCGTCTTGACGCTTCCGAATGCGTGACTGCGGTGCGTGTGAATGGAGAGTGATGAGAATACACAATGCTTTTATTGCCACATGCGTCAATAAATCTTGGGTTTGAAGTGGAGGCGAGTTCAGTTGGACCTGGTGAAATGCGCCGACTGGAGTTCTGGGAAAGCTTGGCTTGCAAGTCGGGTTTAATGCGCATGGTGCACTTACTTAAGTAGTGTGGTGTGGTACTAGAATTAATCGCAATTTAGTTCAGAAAAAACGAGCAAGTCGGCAGGTGTTGCGATGATTAGGGTTCGGAACGTCGTTAGATAATTGTACCTATAACAGGAGGAGAGGAAATGTTTGAAAATTTAAAGAAACTAAAAAGAACTTTAATCGTTTGGAAACAGTTTTTTCTAGAACTAGCTCATATTTTTACTGTTTTAGGTTTTTGGTGTGAATAAGGTACTGATTAATTTTAAGCAATAATTTAAAATTTTAATGAAGCGCAAAATTGTTATGTCAGTGGTTAGCCAGACAATCGTGTTTAACTGGTTGCATAGTCGGTCATTTTCAAATTATTTTATCCGTGATGCAACTAATAATTGAATTTTAACATAGATTTTATAAGAATGTGGGATCGCAAAGGTGCCTGTTGGTGCCATCATCAAAACTAAGTAATAGGTGAATTAGATTATAAAAACATTGATAAATATAAACTTATACTAGGGAAACACAAGGCAGAACAAAAACCTTTCAAAATTTATATATTTTCACGAGGGTAAGTATATCTTTATAATCTTTAAAAAGATTTATTTTAACTGTATACGCATATTAAAAAATAATACCAAATGAAAATCTTCATTTTAGCCAGTTTTGATACTGCTAGCGACATCTTGTTTTGTATAGTAACAGCAACCGAGAATATCGTGATAGAATTCTGTAACTAAGTTTTACAGTGTTATAAAGAACTTTTCTGCTCATAAAATCTTTAGTGCCCTCATAGATGGTTCTGCTGTATGTTTTGTGTATTGATGGTCGCGGACCAAAATTGTTACACCGAATGTTTTTTGAATTTTTCGATCTTTCGGTTTTTCGAATGTTCTATTTTCCAATTTGTGAACTTTTGATTTATCGAATTTTCAACTTTTCGGTTCTTTGATTTTTCAATTTTTCCCTCTTTTAATTTTACAATTTTTAAATTTGAGATTTTTCAGTTTTTTCCATGTTTCCATTTCTCGATTTTTCGTATTTTTGACTTTTGGGTTTTAAATTTTTCGGTTTTTCAATTTTCGATTTTTAAAATTTTTTATTTTTCGATTTTTCAATATTTCGGTTTTTAAATTTTCTAGTTTTCGACTTCTGGGTTTTAGATTTTTCGGTTTTTTAATTTTTCGATTTTTAAAATTATTGATTTTTCAAATTTTCGGTTGTTAAATTTTTCGGTATTTGAATATTAGGATTTTTCTATTTTTCTTTTTTTCCATTTTTTGATGTTTCGAGTTTGTGACTTCTCGCTTTTGGATTTTAGGTTTTTTAATTTTTCGATTCGTAGAATTTTTCCCAGTTTTCCATTTTTCAATTTTTGTTGTTTCGATTTTTTTATTTTCCTATTTCTCGACTTCTCTATTTTCAATGTTTCAATTTTTTAGTTTTTCAGTTCAATTTTTCGATTTCTCGATTTTTCAATTCTTCGATTTCTTAATTTTTCTGTCTCAGTTTTTAATTTTTCGATTCTTCAATTTCTCCTCCTTTTTTTAAATTTTTCGGTATTCCGGTGTTGGAATTTTGCAATTTTTCAATTTTTTACGTTTCTAAATTCTCAGTTTTTAGCTTCCTCAATTTCTCGATTAATTGATTTCGTTTCCCGATTTCTCGACTTGTCGAAAAGTTCAATTCTTCAATTTTTCGATATTTCAAATTTTTGGTTTTGCGACTTCAATTTTTCAACTTTTGGATTTTTCAATTTTACAGTTTTTCGATTTCACAATTTTTTGATGTTTCAATTTTGGAATTTTTCAATGTTTTGATCCGTCAATTTTTTCCATTTTTCGTTTTAAATTTTATTAATTTTTCGATTTTTTGATGTTTCGAATTTTTTACTTTTCGGTTTTAGATTTTTCGGTTTTTCAATTTTTCGATTTTTAAAATTTTGTTTTGATTTTTCAATTTTTCGGTTCTTCGATTTTTCCATATTTTAATTTTTCTATTTTTAAATTTTAGATTTTTCATTTTTTTTGATTTTTCGATTTCTTGATCTTTCGAATTTTTGACTTCTCTCCTAACTTTTTTAAAATTTTTAGGTATTTGAGTGTTGACATTTTTCATTTTTTTACGTTTCTAAATTTTCAATTTTTATATTTCTCAATTTCTCGAAGTTTCAATTCGTTAATTATTCGATTTTTAAAATTTTCAGCTTTTCGACTTCGATTTTTCAACTTTTAAGTTTTTCGATTTTACAATTTTTCTATGTTGCAGTTCTGGGATTTTTTCAATTTTTCGTTTCTTCAATTTTCCTTTCATTTTTCAATGTTTCGATTTTTGGACTTTTCGATTTTTCGATATCTCGGTGTTTTACTTTTCGACTTTTTCAACTTTCAATTGTTCTATTTTTTGATATTTCGAATTTTTGACTTCTCGCTTCTAGATTTTTCGATTTTCAAAATTACTGATTTTTTGATTTTTCAATTTTTCGGTTTTTCGAGTTTTCAATTTTCCAATTTTTGATGTTTTAATTTCTCGAATTTCCAACTTTTCGAGTCTTCGATTTTTCCATATTTTAATTTTTCTCTTTTTTAAATTTTAGATTTTTCAATTTCTCGATTTTTCAGTTTTAGGATGTTTTAATTTTACAATTTTTAAATTTTAGACTTTTCAGTTTTTTTGGTGTTTCAATTTCTCGATCTGTCGAAATTTTCTCTTCTCGGTTTTAAATTTTTCGGTTCTTCAATTTTTCGATTTCTCGATTTTTCAGTTCTTCGATTTCTCGATTTTTCAGTTCTTCGATTTCTCAATTTTTGTTTCAGGTTTGATTTTTTAGATTCTTCAAGTTCTCCTCCTTTTTTTTTAGTTTTTCTGTATTCCGGTGTTGAAAGTTTGCAATTTTTCTTTTTTTACGTTTGTAAATTGTCAGTTTTTAGCTTTCTCAATTTCTCGAATAATTGATTTCGTTTCCCGATTTCTCGACTTGTTCAAGGTCAATTCTTCAGTTCTTCGATTTTTCAAATTTTTGGTTTTTCGACTTCAATATTTCAATTTTTCGTATTCTCGATTTTTCAGTTTTTCGATTTCACAATTTTTTTATATTTCAATTTTGGGATTTTTCAATGTTTCGATTCTCTAATTTTTCTTCCATTTTTCGATTTTTAAATTTTTTAATTTTTCGATTGTTTGATGTTTCGAATTTTTGAATTCTTGGTTTTAGGTTTTTCGGTTTTTCAATTTTTCGATTTTTAAAATTTGTGTTTTTTGTGATTTTTCAATTTTTCGGTTCTTCGATTTTTCCATATTTTGATTTTTCAGTTTTAAATTTTAGTTTTTTAAGTTTTTTCGATTTCTTGATCTTTCGAATTTTTGACTTCTGGCTTTTAAATTTTTCGATTTTTCAATTTTTCGATCTTTCAGTTTTTCGAGCCTTAAATTTTCCAATTCTTGATGTTAAGAGTTCTCAAATTTTCAACTTTTCGATTCTTCGATTTTCCACATATGTTAATTTTTCGATTTTTCAAATTTTAGATTTTTCGATTTCTCGATTTTTCAATTCTTTGCTATTTTAAGTTTACAATTTTTAAATTTTAGGTTTTTCAGTTTTTTCGGAGTTTCCATTTTTCGATCTTTCAAATTTTTGACTTATCTGTTTTAAATTTTTGGTTTTTCAATTTTACAATTTTTAAAAATTTTTATTTTTCAATTTTACAATTTTTCGGTTTTTAAATTTTTCGATCTTTTAGTTCTTTGGATTTTCAACTTTCCAATTTTTAATGTTTCGATTTCCCGACATTATGGGATTCTTCGATTTTTCGTTGTTTTAATTTATTGATTTTTTAAATTTTAGATTTTTCGATTTCTCGATTTTTGATTATTTAATTCTTCGATGTTTCAAGTTTCAATAATTGGAATTTTTAATTTTTTTATTTCTCAGTATTTTAAGTTTTCAATTTTTCAGTTTTTTTAAATTTTTAGGCTTTTCGATTTTTATTTTTTTTTCCTTAAAAATTTCCATATTTCCATGTACAATTCTGGAAAAAAGATAGGAGTAATCGAAGAAATGACATGTGAAGGTCGAAATCTACAAGAAAATCTCTTTCGGAAATTTATGGAGTGGTCGAAAAAGCGTCAAAATTTTCCTAATAGCCGAAGTATCCAAAAGTTGATCTTTTAGAAAGTTTAGACAATTATTTTTTTTTCCTTAAAAATTTCCATATTTCCATGTACAATTCTGGAAAAAAGATAGGAGTAATCGAAGAAATGACATGTGAAGGTCGAAATCTACAAGAAAATCTCTTTCGGAAATTTATGGAGTGGTCGAAAAAGCGTCAAAATTTTCCTAATAGCCGAAGTATCCAAAAGTTGATCTTTTAGAAAGTTGTCTAAAAATCTACACAAAATTCTGGGATATAAATAGATCTCAACGAGGTGAAACGAAAACAGAGTTTTCAGTTCAAATTCGAGTTTTTAAAATATCCCAATAATTGTGATACTTCATTTTGGCCAAATTCTAAGTCAGTAAAGGAAATTAAAGAAATTCTTTGGTCATTTTCGAAAGACAAAAAACTTTGATGTAAATTTTGAAACATTGGTGCATTTTCTCCAAGTATGATCAAAAGCGTGTATATTTGGTTGCATATACGCATCGATTTATTTATTCATTAGGAGTATTATAATTTATGTTATATTTAAAACCAATTGCTGAAACACAACATCTTAATCCAAAAGTCATTCGAAGACGTTGTGCTAATGCAAAGATCCCGCCAAAATTTTTAAAACCCGTCAAACATTCAAAATTCGGCCAACAGAAGTGGAATGCGTTCAGATGCAAAGTGGAGAAGTAAAAACAATTGTGAAATAAGCCCAAATAATGTTAACCCCCGCGCCTTCGAGAATAAATAATGTTCGAATTCAAGCCGCAAAAACATTATTAAACCTGAAAGAGAATAATCAGACCTGAAACAAACAATTGAACCTGTAAGAAAATATTAAAGTCCGTTTTTCAAGTCCACAATGAATCGTATCAACTGAAACAGTACTTAAATCACTCTATAGCTAATTTTTACGTGTATAGTAGAAAATTTTGTGATTTATTTTGTAAAACTGAGGTATACAGGGTGTTTCACGTTACACTATCTTCTTAACTTTGTTTAAACGTAGACTCCTGAAAGGAAAAAGCTTGTCTAATGTTACCCTTTTTATACACTAAAATACCAAGCAGAGATTGAGTGACACGCAAAATATGAGAGTACAGAGAAATATTACCTAAACTATTTAGCAATAAGTAGACACAAGATGGGTATTGCCACCACAAAGACGGTAATCCCAGCGGCTGTATTACTTAACTCTGCTCTAGAACTGTCAGTAACATAGCTGAAATATTTTCAACAGTTGGTAAAGACGGTCTTAGCAAAAACATAGTGTGCAACTCGCATAATAATCAAAGTTTCAACTCCTCTTGTTGTACTGGTAAACAAAAAGGTCACCGGCATTTATACACTCGTAACACTTTTCTTGTAGGTACCTATACATTTCGTACGTAATTTGACTAATTTTAGCACTCAGCAGTACCAAAACTTAATGCCGATGGTAATGTTTACATTAATCTCCCATTAATTGGACAAGAATAAACCTTGAACAAATGATATACGTGGATGGGTATTATCGAAACTTGCAGAGGTCAACTGTCCCTCAGTTATCCCAACAAAACAAGACAAACTTAGACGTGAATCCCCAGCGATAACGCTCAAACAAAATTCCATGTAAAACTGGCAAGTGGCAAATTGTATAATCATGCAGTGACATTGTATTGTAGTGTGTGAATTTAGAAAATGTGTAGCGTGCGAACTTTAGTGCACGTGCTTTGTTTGACTATAACAGGTAAGTCGAGGCAAACAACTCTGTTCGCCATGATGGTCACTTTTGCACGCACACAAACCAAACTTTTTTAATTTCTTCCAGCCGCTCAAGTCAGCAATGGGTTGAGTTTTTCTGTAAATAACTACACCAGAGTGCGTCGAGAAACATCTTGCCCTGAAGACTTACCGTTCGCTTTGTAAGTTCACACTGAATCTCCTTGATCTGAAAAAAAAATGTATGTTCTCAAAAAAAAATTCTAGACCAAGTTTTCCTTGCAACTCTGGTGAGTGCGTCGATGGAAGCTATGAGTGTAACGGCCATAAAGACTGCAAAGACGGAAGCGACGAAACCGATGCCTGTAAAAGAATCCAGTAAGTCTGAACTAGTAATTAAAATTTTTTATTTGCTCAAAATGTTCCGCGTAAAAAAATATTTTGACTTTGGGCATTTTTCAAAAAATTTACTATCATTCGCCTTCTTCAATGTCCAGTTATGAATGACTGAGAAATATTTTCTCAAATTATTCTCCCCATCTTTACTTGTCAATATAATAATAATAATAATAATAATAATAGGACTTTATTAAATATTGTATGCTAATATATCCAGTATGAAATATTGTATGCTCAGTCGATATGTACCTAATTAAACTTTCATGACTTAAGACTCTGTCTTAATTAAACTGGCTATAGTAAACCGCAATAAACAAATTTTTACGTACATTTATGTAGAAAAATACCAGAAAAACCCAAAAAGGTGTTCAGATGTTCTTAGACTTTCGCCAAACGGAACCCTTAAATAAATCATGTCTTATCGATTTATTATTGGTCTATAATCCGAAAAATCTGAAAAACCTGAAAAATCTATAAAATTTAATGAATCCAAAAACCCTAGAAAACTAAAAAAACTGAAAAAAATACAACAAGCCAAAACATTGAAAATATCCCAAGAATTTAAAAATCAAAAAATCAGAAAATAAAAAAAAAACAAAAAAATTATCAAAAAAATCCTGAAAATCCCAAAGATCCGAAAAATCGAAAGGTCCAAAGAATTCAAACGATCCAAAGAATGAAAAAGTCCAAAAAATTCAAGAAATGAAAAAAAAAACGAAAAATCGAAGAATTTAAAAAATCCAAGAAACCCTTAAATAAATGTTGCTTATCGGTTTATTATTGGTCTATAATCCGAAAGACTGTAAAAACCCGAAAAACCAGAAAAATTCGAGGATCCGAAAAATCTGAAAAACTCGAAAAATCCCATAAATCCAAAAAAAAATCCAAAAAATGTGATAAATTCAAAAATTCAATAAACTGAGTAAATCCGACAAAAAAAAACAAGAAAAAATAAAAATCCAAGAGACCCAGAAAATTGAAAAAACTTAAAAAATCCAAAAATTCAAACATCCCAAAAATTTCAAATATCCCAAAAATCCAAAAAATCAGAAAATGAAAAAAAAAACAAAGAATTAAAACTATGAAAAAATCCAATAAGTTCCAAAGATCCGAAAGATCGAAAAGTGCAAGGAATTCAAAGAATCTAAAGGATACAAAAATCCAAAAAACTCAGAAATTAAAAAATAGAAAAATTTAAAAATAAAGAAAGCCTTAAATAATTTTGTCTTATCGGTTTATTATTGGTCTATAATCCGGTAAACCCGAAAAATCCGAAAGATGCGAAAAATTCGATAAATAAAAAAATCCAAAAAATATGAAAAATTCAGGAAACCCAGAAAACTAAAAAAACTTACGAAATCCAAAAATCCAAAAAATTGAAAATTTCTCAAATATCGGAAAAATACAAAAAATCAGCAAACGAAGAAAAAAATTAAAATAACAAAAAAACAAAAAGTCCCAAAGATCCAAAAGATCGAAAGGTCCAAATAATTCAAAAAATGAAAAATCGATGAGTTTAAAAATTAAAAAATCCAAAAAAATCAAGAAACTCAAAAAATAACACAAACTCAAGAAATTCAAAAATTTCTCCAATTCAAAAAATCGACAATATCCCAAAAATACAAAAAATTCAAAAATAGGAACATGAATAAAACAAAAAATAAAATTTATCAAAAAAGTTTAAAAATCCGAAAAATTCCGAAGATCCAAAAAATTCGAAAAATCTAACTAAAAGATAAAATTATCCAAAGATCCAAAGATCCAAAAAATTCAAAGGTCCAAAAAATCCCAAGAATTCAAAGAATCCAAAGAATCCCAAGAATCCGAGGAATCCAAAGTATCCAAGAAATCCAAAAAACCCAAAAAATCGAAAATATCCAAAAAATTAAAGAAACCTAAAAATTAGAAAAATTGAAAAGTCCAAGAAACCGTTAAATAAATTTTGCTTATCGGTTTATTATTGGTCTATAATCCGAAAAACTCTAACAATCCAAAAAACCCGAAAAATCCGAATGATCCGAAAATTGCGAAATATCCGAAAAATCCGAAAAACCCGAAAAATCCCATAAATCCAAAAAATGTGATAAATCCAAAAATTCAATAAATTGAGTAAATCCAACAAAAAAAAACAAGAAAAAATAAAAAATCCAAGAGACCCAGAAAATTGAAAAAACTTAAGAAATCCAAAAATTAAATAAATCCCAAAAATTTCAAATATCCCAAAAATCCAAAAATTCAGAAAATGAAAAAAAAAAAACAAAAAATTAAAACTACGAAAAAATCCAAAAAGTTCCAAAGATCCGAGAGATCCAAAAGTTCAAAGAATTCAAAGATTCTAAAGGATCCAAAAATCCAAAAAACTCAGAAATTAAAAAATCGAAAAATCGAAAAATTTAAAAATCCAACAAATTAAACAATCAAAGAAAACCTTAAATAATTGTGGCTTCTCGGTTTATTATTGGTCTATAATCCGAAAAACTCTGAAAATCCGAAAAATCACATAAATCCAAAAAAAATCCATAAAATGTGATTAATCCAAAAATCCAATAAATTGAGTAAATCTGACAAAAAAATCAAAAAAAAAATAATAATAAAAAATCCAAGAGACCCAGAAAATTGAAAAAACTTTCGCCAAACGGAACCCTTAAATAAATCTTGTCTTATCGGTTTATTATTGGTCTATAATCCGAAAAATCTGAAAAACCTGAAAAATCTATAAAATTTAATGAATCCAAAAACCCTAGAAAACTGAAAAAACTGAAAAAAATACAACAAGCCAAGACATTGAAAATACCCCAAGAATTTAAAAATCAAAAAATCAGAAAATAAAAAAAAAACAAAAAAAATTATCAAAAAAATCCAGAAAATCCCAAAGATCCGAAAAATCGAAAGGTCCAAAGAATTCAAACGATCCAAAGAATCAAAAAATCCAAAAAATTCAAGAAATGAAAAAAAAACGAAAAATCGAAGAATTTAAAAAATCCAAGAAACCCTTAAATAAATGTTGCTTATCGGTTTATTATTGGTCTATAATCCGAAAAACTGTAAAAACCCGAAAAACCCGAAAAATTCGAGGATCCAAAAAATCTGAAAAACTCGAAAAATCCCATAAATAAAAAAAAATCCAAAAAATGTGATAAATCCAAAAATTCAATAAACTGAGTAAATCCGACAAAAAAAACAAGAAAAAATAAAAAATCCAAGAGACCCAGAAAATTGAAAAAACTCAAGAAATCTAAAAATTCAAAACATCCCAAAAATTTCAAATATGTATCCCAAAAATTCAAAAAATCAGAAAATGAAAAAAAAAAAAACAAAAAATTAAAACTATGAAAAAATCCAAAAATTTCCAAAGCTCCGGAAGATCGAAAAGTCCAAAAAACTCAGAAATTAAAAAATCGAAAAATTTAAAAATCCAAGAAATTAAACAATCAAAGAAAACCTTAAATAATTTTGTCTTGTCGGTTTATTATGGGTCTATAATCCGATAAACCTGAGAAATCCGAAAGATGGGAAAAATCCGAAAAATCCGAAAAATTTGAAAAACCAGAAAAATCCGATTAATAAAAAAATCCAAAAAATCCAAAAAATTCAGGCAACCCAGAAAACTAAAAAAACTTACGAAATCTAAAAATCCAAAAATTTTCAAACATCCCAAAAATCCAAAAAATCAGAAAATGAAAAAAAATTAAAACTATGAAAAAATCAAATAAGTTCCAAAGATCCGAAAGATCGAAAAGTCCAAAAAAGTCAAAGAATCTAAAGGATCCAAAAATCCAAAAAACTCAGAAATTAAAAAATGGAAAAATAAAAAATTTTCAAAATCGAGGAAATTGAACAATCGAAGAAAGTCTTAAATAATTTTGTCTTATCGGTTTATTATTGGTCTATAATCCGATAAACCCGAAAAATCCGAAAGATCCGAAAAATCTGAAAAACACGAAAAATCCGATAAATAAGAGAATCCAAAAATATGAAAAATCCAGGAAACCCAGAAAACTAAAAAAAACCTACGAAATCCAAAAATCCAAAAAATTGAAAATTTCTCAAATATCTGAAAAATACAAAAAATCAGCAAACGAAGAAAAAATTAAAATAACAAAAAAAAACAAAAAGTCCCAAAGATCCAAAAGATCGAAAGGTCCAAAGAATTCAAAAAATGAAAAATCGATGAATTTAAAAAATCGACAATATCCCTAAAATACAAAAAAAATCAAAAATAAGAACATGAATAAAACAAAAAATAAAATGTATCAAAAAAGTTTAAAAATCCGAAAAATTCCGAAGATCCAAAGAATTCGAAAGATCTAAAAGATAAAATTATCCATAAAATTCAACGGTTCAAAAAATCCGAGGAATCCAAAGTATCCAAGGAATCCAAAAACCCAAAAAAATCGAAAATATCCAAAAAATTATAGAAACCTAAAAATCAGAGAGATTAAAAAGTCCAAAAGCAAGAAACTCAAAAAATTAAAAAACTCGATAGATCCAATAATTCCAATAATTAAAAAAAATTCGAAATTTTCACCAAAAACCAAAAAACAGAAAATAAATAAAACAAAAAAATCCAAAAAAATAACAAAATGTCAAGAATCCAAAGAATCCGAAAAATCCGAGAAATCCGAACCATGCAAGAAATCCAAAAAATCGGAAATATCTAAAAAAATGTAAAAAACCCAGAAGCTAAGGAATTTAAAAAATATCAACAATATAAAAAATCCAAGAATCTTAAAAACTCAAGATATCGAATAATATTAAAAAATCGAAAAAATTGAAAATATCCCAAAACTCCAAAAAATCAGAAAATGAAAAAAAAATAAGAATTATCAAAAAATCCATAGAGTCCCAAAGATCCGAAAGATTCGAACGATCTGAAAATTTGGAAAGTTTGAAAGGTCCAAAAAAATCCAAAGAATCCAATAATTGAAGAATTAAAAAAATCTAAGAAATTAAAAAATCCAAGAAAACCAAGAAACTCAAAAAATTAAAAAAACTGAATAATCAGAAGATAAATAAAACGAAAAAATAAAAATTATCCAAAAAGTAAAAAAAAAAATAAAAACTGAAGGATCCAACGATGCAAAAGATCGAAATATCTAGAAGATTCAAAGATCCAAAAAATCCCAAGAATACAAAGAATCCGAAAAATCCGAGAAATCCGAAGATTTCAAAGAATCCAAAATACCCAAGAAATCCAAAAAACCTAAAAAATCGAAAATATCGACTAAATAAAAAAAAAACTTGAGAAATCCAATAATTCCAAAATTCCAAAAAATTTAATATATCCCGAAAATCCAAACATTCCAAAAAATAAATAATCCAAAAAGTATACGAGAAACCCAAGAAACATAAGACCAATTTCAAATATATAAAATACTGTGGATCTACTTTTGTAGCTAATCAGTACATTAATATCTTTTTTATGGTTAATTGAGGAAACGCAACCAATAAAAGAATGTGCAATAATGCCCCCAAATAAACCATTTGCGGCGACCTGTAAGAAATGGTGGCTATGACAATAGCAGGCCTAATTTCAGATTTTAGAAAATAGGTAGTTTCGATTTTTTTTCAACTGACATAGTAAAACACACAAATATGCATATGTATTAACTCAAACCGACAATAGATGCAGTAGATATGCAAACTGCATATAATTCGCTCTCTTTTTCAAATGATCATCGGTTATGTATCGGACGCGCAACATAATTTGTAATCGAGTCGGTCTTGGCAAAAATTTAGCATGTCGGTGACCAAACCACATCGATAAATGTCAAAAAATTGACAAAAAATACACTCCAATGAAATGTGTAGTGCTGATGCGACTGAAGGACGTCGAAAACTACAGCCTATAGCTGTTCACTGAGTTGTTTATTCTTTCCAATTAGTAATTCTTTATCACTAATTTCTACAACATCTACAGGTGCGCTTCCTTCTTGTTCACTTGCAATTACGGCGCCTGCATTAAAAAAGAACTGCAATGCAACGGAGTTTCCGACTGTGCCGACAACTCGGACGAATCCAGCTGTCCAAAAGCCAACGAAATCGTCAACGTCTGCACGTAAAAACCACAGCCACTTCTCAAAACGTCCTTCTAATGTGTACATTTCAGCGACAACGAGTTCAGATGCAGTTCAGGTCAGTGCATCAACAAACAGTTCAAGTGCGATGGTAAAGCAGATTGTATTGACCAGACTGACGAAATTAAAGCCACTTGTTTTGATGTTGAGTGTCCCGGTACAAAGTACAAGTGTGATTATGGAGCATGTACTGTTCAAAACGCTGAGTGTAATGGAGTAGTTGACTGTTTCGACGGATCAGATGAAGCTCCAAGTCTTTGTACCATCAATGCAGCACCAGGACAACCTCCTCCATCACAGCCATCACCAACGCCGCGACCTCCTTCAGCAGCACCGTATGTTGTCAACGTGACGTCTGTGTCGACTTTGACGACGTTGTTTGATTTAGGGGTAGCTGCGTTTTACCAGCTCATCCAGGTTCTGGGCACTGGTCGATTTTTGGGGTAGGGAATACACTGTCACCTGGATCGGTGGTCACCCAAGGGACTATTCTCAACGTGGAATGTGACAAGGGTTATCTATTGGATGGTAACATTACCTTGTATTGCAGAGGTGGGGAATGGTCGGCAAATGTTGGTCGTTGTCAGAGTAAAGTGTTTCGTTGGTTTTATGCTCTTTATTGTTTCGTTTTTGTTGCAGAAGTCTGTCCGGTTCGAAATAGTACACCAAATTTAAATGTTACCTGTATTTATCAAAATAAGCAAACGCAGAACTGCACGGAAGCCATTGATGGTACTCTTGCTAAGTTCAAGTGTGCGTCTTTTTATGAAGACTTTGGGTTAAACAGGAAACCGGTGCATATATGTCAGGATGGTAACTGGGATCAGAGGGAGCCGAAATGTGAACCAGGTTAGTTTTGAAGGTATTGTGTTAACACATGTATTAATAGTTGAATCTTTGGGGTCATAAACCCACTTTACACCACATTTATCCAATTATAGGGGAAAAGTGCCTAAAATGATCCCCTCAGGTCAAATGATCCCCATCAATTGTAAGAAAATTTGTGGCTCCATCTACCAAACATGACTGTCATTTGATTAAGCGCTCTGTAATTAGTACCTTCTGAAAGTTTGATGGCGTTCTGTGTATTCTGCACAGTTTTGTGCCAAAATATGTAAAATAAGCACCTCTGATCTAAGATAAGATATATTTTAAAAGTCCATTACTTCCATTTGAAAGGTCTTATAGCGGTGGTAGTTGTTTTGACAGAATTAGATACATTTCAGTCGTACGTTAGTTATGATCTTTTTACCGCATGTAAAAATTGAAGGTTAGTTTACAATTTTTGAATGCGGATATGCTACCTAAGGCGAAATGATCCCTTTTTCTTGAGGCAAAATGATCCCGGATCATTGGGCGGGGCTAGTACCTGCTAAGATAAAATTGATTTTTGCAAATCATATACCCTCTAAGAAAAGAGAGGCCGCCCACCTACTCTTTATTTTCTTTGAGGGAATACCATTTGCCAATATCAGTTTTATTTTAGCAAGTACTAACCCCACCCACCCGCCCGTTATTTTCTTAGAATGTATGTTATTTGCCAACATCAGCCTTATCTTGCCAAGCACTAGCTCGGCCCATCCGCCCTTTATCTTGTTAGAGGGCTAGTACCTAATAAGATGAGATTGATTTTCGCAAATGACATATCCTCCAAGAAAAGAGAGGGTGGGTGGGCGGGGCTACTACCTGCTAAGATAAGACTGATTTTTGCAGATGACATATCCTCTAACCCCGCCCACCCACCCATTAGTTTATTCGAGGGAATACCATTTGCCAATACCAGTTATATCTTAGCAGTTACTAGCCCCACCCACCTACTACCTGCTAAAATAAAACTGATTTTCGCAAATGAAATACCCTCTAAGAGAGGAGAGGGAGGGTGGGTGGAGCTAGTACCTCTTAAGACGGGGAAATTTAAATAATTTAAAAGAATTTTAGGGATTTTCGTGTTCTATTTTTGGGAAATTCTCAGTCTTAAGAGGTACTAATCCCAGTCACCCGCCGTCACTTTTCTTAAAGGGTATCTCATTTGTCAAAATCAGTTTTATATTAGCAAGTATTAGCCCCACCCACCCACCCTCTCTTTTCTTGGAGGGTATATCATTTGCCAAATTCAGTTTTATCTTAGCAGTTAGTGGACCCACCCACCCACCCTCTTTTTTCTTAGAGTGTATGTCATTTGCCAAATTCAGTTTTATCTTAGCAGTTAGTAGACCCGCCCACCCGCCCTCTCTTTTCTTAAAGGCTATATCATTTGCCAAATTCAGTCTTATCTTAGCACTTACGAACCCCACCCACCCACCCTCTTTTTTCTTAGAGTGTATGTCATTTACCAAATTCAGTTTTATCTTAGCACGTACTGATGACTAAAGTATTGTCTCAAACTCTTCCAGAAATTATACACCCCGTATTTTCGGTGCTTTTCAAACTTTTTTTGTATATTTTTTTTTAAGAATTTATTTTTTTGGTAATTTTTGAAATAAAATATTTATCAGTTATGTCATGATTTGATTTTTCTTGTTGATGCTGTCCCTTTATGGTCAAAATTCAAAGGGATCATTATGCCCATGCCGAGGGATCATTTTACCTATGGGGATGCCTAAAATGATCCTTTTGTAAGGTCCTGGAAAAACTTTAATAACTTTTTTTATAATTATCGAATCACCAATTGGCTTATACTGTTACCTAAATAAATCAATGTTCTTACAAATAATGCTACAGTTTTACATGAATAATAATAATTTGTATTTTTTAAAGAATTTCTCCCTTAGGGGGATCATTTTAGGCACCTTTCCCCTATAGCCGAACTCCGCGGAAAACAATAGCGTGTGTACTCTTTACATTTTAGGCAACCATAATTTTTTGAAATGCTGCCGGTAACTCATATGTCTGTGTTTTGGAAATTCTGAAAAATTAGTGCTCGTCATACAAATTGTTGTTATTGGCTAAAATACTTAAAACATATAAGGAATTGATGATGAGGTTATTATGATTATTTATCTTTTTAGAAACCCACAAAAATACGAGTAGTTCGCACTTCGCAGAAAAGTGTTTTCTTAATCACTATGTTCCAAGAACAAAGAAACGAATATTGATAATTTGATAAGAATTTGTTTGAATTCAAAGATGTCATAAATGAAGATTTCGTCGATTTTTTACAACTAAAGTCAAGGATATAAAACCCAGTTTTCTGGGAATCCATTGAATTATTGAGCTCAAGACAAAAATCACTAATTTCCAACCATGCTTATAATAAATTATAGATTGTGCTAATTAGTTAACTACGATTAATATGAGCATAAACATGCGTTATTTTTGGAATTAGCATCAATTTGATACCTAAAAATTTTGGGAACAAAATTTTTCAAAAATGAAAATTTCGGCCAATTTTCGACAATATTCAAAATTTAACCAAAGACGTTTTCTAATAGATTTCGACAACTTCAAGTTATAGTTTCGGCCTCATTTCTTCGATAGGTTGGTTCAATCATGGTTCCAGAATTGCCCAATGAAACATTGAAATTTTTTAGATAAAAAAAAATCATTTTCAAACCGTACATTTTTAAATCTTGCACCGAGAGCTTCAAAAGCTATTTTTTTTTTATTCAAGGAATTTTTGACAATTTTCGAAATTTAACTACATACATACATTGTCTTACATATTTGGACCTCCACAAGTTGTTTGCGCTGTCATTTCTGTGGTAGCTCGTATAATTTTTCCAGAATTACGTAGCGAAATAATGAGATTTTTTTGATTTAAAAGAAATCACACCGAATATTTTTAATTCTTCCATGGGGAGGATATACATTCTATATTTTTGGAATCAGCACGACGAAATCTATATCCCAGATTTTTTTGGGAATTTTTGGCAACTTTTCAAAAACCAAAATTTCACTACCAACCCTAATGAAAATTTCGGCTAATTTTCGACAATTTTTGGAAATTTAACCAAGAATACTTTTTATAGATTTCGACCTCCAGAAGTCAGTTTTGGATTCATTTCTTCGACAACTCCTATCATTTTTCTTGAACGGCACACTGAAATATTTCAGTTTTTAATATTATAAAATCTTTAACCTGTGGCATAAACACCCACTGTTTTTAGAATCAGCATAACGAAACCATATTCCAGATTTTTTTGAGAATTTTTGGGCAACTTTTTCAAAAGCAATTTTTTTTTAACTCGAGGAATTTTTGACAATTTTCGAAGTTTAACTACATATATTTTCTTACATATTTGAACCTCCACAAGTTATTTATGCTCTCATTTCTGTCGTAGCTCGTATCATTTTCCAGAATAACGCAGCGAAATAATGAGATTTTTTTGATTAAAAAAAATTACAGTGAGTATTTTTAAATCTTGCAGCGGGAGCATAAACATTCTATATTTTTGTAATTAGCATGACGAAATCTATATCCCAGAATTTTTTGGGAATTTTTTGGCAACTTTTCAAAAACCAAATTTTCACTACCAACCCTAATGAAAATTTCGGCTAATTTTCGACAATTTTCGAAATTTAACCAAGAATACTTTTTATAGATTTCGACCTCTAGAAGTCAGTTTTGGATTCATTTCTTCGACAACTCCTATCATTTTTCCTGAATGGCACACTGAAATATTTCAATTTTTAAAAGTTAGAAAAAATGTTTCAAATCGAATATTATAAAATCTTTAACCTATGGCATAAACACCCACTGTTTTTAGAATCAGCACAACGAAATCATATTCCAGATTTTTTTGAGAATTTTTGGGCAACTTTTTCAAAAGCAAAATTTTTTTTTAAATTCGAGGAATTTTTAACATTTTCGAAATTTAACTACATATATTTTCTTACATATTTGGACCTCCAGAAGTTATTTGCGCTGTCATTTCTGTGGTAGCCCGTATAATTTTTCCAGAATAACGCAGCGAAATAACGATATTTTTTTGATTAAAAAAAAATTACACCGAGAATTTTTGGGCAATTTTTTCAAAAGCAAATTTTTTTTTTATTCGAGAAATTGTTGGCATTTTCGAAATTTAACTACATACATTTTCTTACATATTTGGACCTCCACAAGTTATTTGCGCTGTCATTTCTGTGGTAGCCCGTATAATTTTTCCAGAATAACGCAGCGAAATAACGAGATTTTTTTGATTAAAAAAAATTACACCGAATATTTTTAAATCTTGCGGCGGGAGCATAAACATTCTATATTTTTGTAATCAGCATGACGAAATCTATATCCCAGAATTTTTTGGGAATTTTTTGGCAACTTTTCAAAAGCCAAATTTTCACTACAAACATTAATGAAAATTTCGGATAATTTTCGACAACTTTCGAAATTTAACCAAGAATTCTTTTTATAGATTTCGACCTCCAGAAGTCAGTTTTGGATTCATTTCTTCGACAACTCCTATCATTTTTCCTGAATGGCAGACTGAAATATTTCAATCTTCAAGAGTTAAAAAAAATGTTTCAAATCGAATATTATAAAATCTTTAACCTTTGGCATAAACACCCACTGTTTTTAGAATCAGCACAACGAAATCATATTCCAGATTTTTTTGAGAATTTTTGGGCAACTTTTTCAAAAGCATTTTTTTTTTATTTTGGAGAATTTTCGACAGTTTTCGAAATTTAACTAAAGATATTTTTACAGATTTTGACCTCCAGAAGTCAGTTTGGAGCATAAAACGTTACATTTTTAGAAACAGCAGAATAAAATCCATATCCAGCTAATTTGTAGGCTACTTTTTCAAAAGCAAATTTTTCAATGAAGATGAAAATTTCGGCAAATTTTCGACACTTTTCAAAATTTAACTAAAGACATTGTCTTATGGATTTCGATCTCCACAACTTAGTTTCGGGTTTATTTCTTCGATAGCTCCTACCACTTTTCTAGAATCGCCAACTGAAATACTGCAATTTTTAGGGGTTTAAAAAATATACTTTTTCAAAGCGAATATTTTTTAATCTTGCACCTCGAGCATGATTGCATTTTTGGAGTCAGCACGACGAAATCTATATCACAGAATTTTTAGAAAATTGTTTCACAACTTTCAAAATCAAAATTGTATTTTGAAAATTTCGACCAATTTTCCACAATTTTTAACGTTTAACTAAAGATATTTTCTCGTATATTTCGACCTCTAGGTGTTAGTTTTGACTTCATTTCTTCGATAGCTCCAACCATTTTTGAAGAATCGCCATATGAAGTATTGCAATTTTTTGGGTTTAAGAAAATATATTCTCAAACCGAGTATTTTTAAATCTTGAGCCAGGAGCATAAAGACGTTATGTTTTTAGAAACAGCACAACGAAATCTATAACCTAGAATATTTTGGTAATTTTTAGGCAACTTTTTCAAAAGCAAAATTTTTTAATGAAAATGATCATTTCGGCAAATTTTCAACAATTTTCAAAATTTAACTATAGTCATTTTCATAGATTTCGACCTCCACAAGTTAGTTTCGGACTCATTTCTTCAATAGCTCCTACCATTTTTCCAGAATTGCCCACTGAAATATTGCAGTTTTTAGAAGAATTTTTTGGGGTTTTTACGCTACTTTTTCAAAAGCGAAATTTTTCAGTGAAAATGAAAATTGCGGCAACTTTCCGACAATTTTCAAAATTTAACTAATTTTTTTTCGATCTCCACAAGTTAGTTTCGGATTCATTTCTTCGATAGGTCCTACCATTTTTCTAAAATCGCCAACTGGAATATTGCAATTTTTAGAAGTTTAAGAAATATATTTTTTCAAACCGAATATTTTTAAATTTTGCATCTCGAGCATAAACACCTATTATTTTTTTTTTGGGAACCAGTACCACGAAATCTATATCCCAGAATTTTTTAGGAATTTTTTGGCAATTTTTCAAAAGCAAAATTTTTATCACTACCAAACCTTATGAAAATTTTCGACAATTTTCGAAATTTATCAAACGACATTTTTTATAGGTTTCGACCTCCAAAAACTACCTTCGGCTTCATTTCTTTGATAAGTCCTACCATTTTTCCAGAATCATCTAGTGAAATATTGCATTTTATGAGCTTAAAAAACATTATTTTTGAACTGAATATTTTTAAATCTTGAAATAAAAATAGTACAAATAAACACGTCATGCTCTTAGAATGACCACGACAAAATCTATATCCCAGATTTTTTTGAGAATTGTTCGCCAATTTTTTCAAAATCAAAATTTTGTTTTGTAAATTTTCACAAATTTTCGACAATTTTCTAAATTTAACTAAAGATATTTTCTTGTATATTTCGAACTTCAGATATTAGTTTGGGTCTCATTTCTTCGATAACTCCAACCATTAGTTCAGAATCGCCATCTGAATAAATATTGCACTTTTTTGGATTTAAGAAAATATATTTTCAAACCGAATATTTTTAAATTTTAAACGAGGAACATAAAGACGTATTATTTTTAGAAACAGCAGAACGAAATCTATAACCTAAAATGTTTTGGTAATTTTTAGGCAACTTTTTCAAAACCAAAATTTTTAATGGAAATGATCATTTCGGCAAATTTTCAACAATTTTCAAAATTTACTATAGTCATTTTCATAGATTTCGACCTCCACAAGTTAGTTTCGGACTTATTTCTTCAATAACTCTTACCATTTTCCCAGAATTGCCCACTGAAATATTGCAATTTTTAGAAGTTCAAAAAAAAAAAATTGTCAAACCGAATATGTTTAAATCTTGCACCGGGAGCACCCATATTTTTGGAATCAGCACAACGAATTCTATATTCCAGAATATTTTTGGTAATTTTTTGATAACTTTTCTAAAACGAAATTTTTCCGTCTGATTTTCGCCAATTTTCAACAATTTTCAAAATTCAACTAAAGACATTTTGTTATACGTTTCGACCTCTAGAAGTTCCTTTTGGTCTCATTTCTGTGATAACTTCTACCATTTTTCGAGAATTATCCCTGCAAATTGCAATTTTTTGAATTAAAAAAATCATTTTCAAATTGAAAACATAAACACACTATCTTTGTGGAATGAGCACGACGAAATCTACTGGGATTCTACAAAATCAATAAACTGGCTACTCCTAAGATTATAAGAAACTACTTTTAATTTAGACAAACTAATTTAAAATAATTTCGATTATCGATCTTGTAATTTCCACCAAAGTAGAACATGATACAAAATCTTTTGGCATCACTGATTTCAAAATGACGTTTGGTCCGTAAAGGAATGCTGTGCTATGATATACGAAGTTGACATGACAGGCCAGACACCTGACAAAGTTGATTTAAATTGATGAGATTGGCAGTACAGTTATTTGAGCAACTGTCAACTAGAACAAGTTGGTGCTGCCAACATTATTTTAAAAATAAATTTCATGGCTTACTAGAGAACAATATTATAGTAACTACAACGATTTTGATTTATAATAAGGTTTGATTAAGAAAGCTTTCTACTCAGCTGATAAACACCTACTTAGATAAAATACATTTCTATTGACAAGTGTAAATATTTGTGTTCAAATACAATAAATGTATCTATCTATCTATGTAGTTATTACTCAGAATACAAAAGACCTTATCAGATATTCTATTCTACCTGAGCACGTAAACCAAAGAATACAAAACTAACTACTGTATATACTACCCTTACTTTTAAATATTTCTATACTCTGTAAGAAACGTAGAAATGTACAACTATATAAATGTAAATGACTTTTAAAGTTATATAATTTTAAGTAGGCCTCACTGATCTTTTCAGATTACATGTTGTATGATAAAAGAAACAATCATATCAGGTACCTACAATAACAGTTTTGATTTGCAGTTTTTACGAAAAAATTACCAACCATTGTGTAAAGTCTCCTTCAATTGTTTACTTATTGTCTGTAACATGATTATTGTTGTTTATTTTAGTTTGTGGCCAAAAAACGGTGGAAGCCACACCTTTAATTATCGAAGGAACAAACGTAACCAAGGGGGAGTACCCGTGGCAAGTTGCCCTATACAGAAAAAGTGACAAAGCCCTCATATGTGGCGGATCACTTTTAAACCAACGAGTCATTCTGACAGGTTAATTACTTACCTGTTCCATTTTCAATTTTTTTCGAAAACGAATTTCAAATTTTAGCTGCACATTGCGTAACGGATCAATATGCCGAACTCTTATCCAAAGAAAATTACTTCGTGGCCGTGGGGAAATATTACAATAAACATGACGACAAACGAGACACCGAAGCACAGTTCTCTGAGGTACACATCACACTTCTATGCATTATTTGTAGAAAAATAATACAACTTCCAGTTGCATTCCATGCACATTTCCGAAGAATACAGAGGCGATAAACAGAACTATTTAGGCGACATTGCCATTTTGGTCACCGTGAAAGTTTTTACTCTTTCTCGAAGGGTCCAACCTGTGTGCTTAGACGCTGGACTAAATTTTAATATAGCTCGCAACGAGATTGGTTATGTAGATGTTCTAACTTTATGACGATGTTTGTCTACGTTTAGTGCTTTTAGGTGACCGGATGGGGTTTCACCGTTGAAAATTCGGCCCCTTCAGATGTTCTGAAAGAACTCAAAGTTCCTGCGGTTGATACGTCGCAGTGCAGATCCGAGCTACCGGAAGATTATGACATTTATCTGACACACGACAAAATGTGCGCTGGTTATATAGATAAAGGTATTTAAATTATTACATTTTTGATTTATGAATGAGAAAAAATTGTGATTTCAGGAACTTCGGTATGCAGAGGTGATAGTGGTGGTGGTTTGGTATTCAAACATGATGGTAGATACTGGATCACTGGAATTGTTAGTATTGCGCCAACATCGCCTGAAAATGTTAGCGGATGTGACAGTTCAAAGTACGGACTTTATACGAAAGTCTCGAACTATGTTAACAGTTTTATATTGAAAATGCTTGCTAAATATAAAACGTTTGCGTAAAATGTGTTATGTTAAACCGTCCTCTTAACAAGGAGACGCCCTTCGCGCCGCTGTCGCTACGTGTCAGCATATTGCGTAGTTCACATTTAAATTTGCCGCCACACTATCGTAATAATTGCAGTATTACCATCCAGTTACTTTAATTTAGGGTTATCTTTTCTTAGTGTTTTTCAATTTGTGATACTCAAATATTTGTAGCGATCTAAGACATTTGATTTCAAAATTTTGCGCATATATGTTTCATTTTGGCGGGAAGTTTGGATTAATACAATAGAATTTTGAAGAATCGAGAAGAATTTTTATATGAGGGAAAATGGGACAATATCAAACTGAAATTAAATATCTAAGATATGATTTAACGAAATATTTATTACCCTATTTGAGGTTAATCCTTTAAAACTTGCGAAAGTAATCAACAATTTAGGATAAATATAACAATGATACTTCTAGCAACTAATATTCAAACTACCATTAATTATTATTTGAGGTGAAAGTTACGTGATATTTATTGCTTGTCAAGAAACTTTATGAACTAACATTATGCTCTCTAGAGCACAAGTTGGTATAAGATAATGTGGTCACAAATCCTGATTTATTGTTATATTTAATATTACAATTTATTAACGTAAAACCCTTTATTTACAATATTTTTTTACAAAAACAAAAATATTGGTCGAACATTGTTTCGACAGAACTTCCCTCGTACATAAACTACAGTATATCAAATCTAGTTGTTTAAAAAAGGAAAACATGACGTCATTAATATTTTTGCAAGGACACGTATATCAGTTTGGATAGATGTAGTGTAATAGTAAAAATAAACGTACTATATTTCCAGATTTTCGGAAAATGAATTGGGTCGTCTTGAATATTGATTTATAATCGATAAGATAACGAGACAGTTTTCTCACGTATGTCACGTGTATTGGGAGAGGCGACTGAAAATCATTTATGTATAAGCATTCTTTATTTAAGACAACAAGCGATAACACTTGTTGAGATTGTATACGTGAGAGTGAAACAGAGAAACTGCAAACAATGCCGATGGTCGTCCAGACTTTTTATTGCTTCGGCTTCCGCTTATTATACAAAACATTGGATTTTATTTTAATTTTGATTGTGGAAGTCACAATTGGTGGAGCTTTTACTGTACAAAATTTTGTGTCTATCAAATTGGATTGGGGTAATTTAATACTAATAATAACAGTGTTGTATCTCGAAATTTTCGGGAAAATTCCTCATTTAATCAATAAAATAAATTGACTCATTCATTCATTTTTGTGAGCTATCTGTTTAAGGAAATCTAAAAAATATGAATAACATGATAAATCACAAGTACAAACTCATCATATTTTGTACATTTTACCTTGATTTTTCAATGTTTTGATTTCTTGGCAACTCGGTTTTCCAATTTTTAAATTTTTTCCATTTTTCGATTTTTAGATTTCTCGATTTTTCAGGTTTATCATTTTCCTAGTTTTTGTAAAGTTCCAATTTTGGGAATTTTTCAATTTTTTGATTTTTCAATGTTTCGATTTTTTTACTTTGCGGATTTTTCAATTTTTCGACTTTTAAATTTTAGATTTTTCAATTTTTCAATTTTCCGATTTTTTAATGTTTCGAATTTTGACTTCTTGTTTTTAGATTTCCGGTTTCCCAATTTTTCGATTTTTAAAATTTTTAATTTTTTGAGTTTTCAATTTATAGCATAGGTTCTATTTCTCGATTCTTCCAAATTTTGATTTTACATTTTTTTTATTACTTATTGTAACAGGGCTTCAACATCGAGGTAAATTTTAGATTTTTCAATTTTTTCGATCTTTCGATTTCTAATTCTTTCGAATTTTTGACTTCTCGGTTTTAACTTATTTGGTTTTTCAATTTTTCGTTTTATAAAATGTTCGATCTTCCAGTTTTTCGAGTTTTCAGTTTTTCGATAGTTCGATTTTCGATATTTTAATTTTTAGATTTTTTGAATAATAAATTTTTGGATTTCTCGATTTTCGATGTTTTAGTTCTAATTTTCAATTGTTCGAATTTTTTAATTTTTTATTTTTCAACTTTTCGAGTTTCCTACTTATCAGTTTTTTAAATTTCATTACACTTTGGTTTGTCAATGTTTTGATTTCTTAACATCTCGGTTTTTCGAGTGTTAATATTTTTCGATTTGTCGATTTTTTTAACATTTCAATTTTGGGAAGCTTTAGATATTTTAATTTTTCCATATTTCGATGCTTCGATTACTCAATCTTTTGATTTTAAAAATTTTCATATTTTTTTCAACTTTTCAATTTTTGAAATTTTTGATTTTTTGATTTTTCAATTTTTCAGTTTTTTACGTTTCTAAATTTTCAATTTTTAGATTTCTCAATTTCTCGATTAATTTATTTTGTTTCCCGATTTCTCGACTTTTCAAAGTTTCAGCTCAATTTGTCGATTTTTTTAATTTTCGACTTTTCAACTTCGATATTTCAACTTTTCAGTTTCTCGATGTTTCAGGTTTGGGATTTTTAATTTTTCGATTCTTCAATTTTTCAACTTTTAAATTTCAGATTTTTCAATTTTCCAATTTTTCGATTTTTTGATGTTTTGAATTTTTGACTTCTCGGTTTTAGACTTTTCGGTTGTTCAGTTTTTCGATCTTTCAGTTTTTCGAGTTTTTAAATTTTTTTAATTATAAATTTTTCGAATTTTTAGTTCTTCGATATTTCTAATTTTCAATTACTATTTGAATTTTTAAATTTGTAATTTTTCAGTTTTTGATTTTTCAATTTTTCGATTTTTTAAATTTTATTACATTTTGATATTTCAAGGTTTTGATTTCTAGAATCTAGATAACTCGGTTATCTGATTTTTAGAATTTTTCGACTTTACGATTTTTAGATTTCTCGATTTTTCAAGTTTATCATTTTCTCACATTTTGTAACGTTTCAATTTTGTGAATTTTCCAATTTATGGATTTTCAATTTTTCGACATTTTAGTTTTTTCAATTTTCTGATGTTTCGATTTTTGGATATCTTGATTTTTTACTTTTCGGATTTTGCAATTTTTCGATTTTTAAAATTTAGATTTTTCAGTTTTTCAATTTTTTGATGTTTCGAATTTTGATTTCTCGTTTTTGGATTTTCGGTTTCTCAATTTTTCGATTTTTAAAATTGTTGATTTTTTTATTTTTCAATTTATAGGTTTTTAAATTTTTCGAGTTTTCAAGTTTCCAATTTTTGATGTTTCGATTTCTCGAATCTTCAACTTTTAGATTCTTGGATTTTTCCATATTTTAATTTTCCGACTTTTTGAGTTTCAGATTTTTCGATTTCTCCATTTCTCGATTCTTCCATATTTTAATTTTACAATTTTTTTTATTACTTATTGTAACAGGGCTTCAATATCGAGGTAAATTTTATATTTTTCAGTTTTTTCGATGTTTCGATTTCTCATTCTTTCGAATTTTTGACTTCTCGATTTTAACTTATTGGGTTTTTGAATTTTTCGTTTTATAAAATTTTCGATCCTCCAGTTTTTCGAGTCTTCAATTTTTCGATACTTCGATTTTCGATATTTTAATTTTTAGATTTTTTGAATTATAGATTTTTCGATTTCTCGATTTATAGATTTTCGATGTTTTAGTTCTAATTTTCAATTATTCGAATTTTTTAATTTTTTGAGTTTCCAACTTATCAATTTTTTTAAATTTCATTACACTTTGATTTGTCAATGTTTTGATTTCTTAACATCTCGGTTTTTGGAGTGTCAAAATTTTTCGATTTCTCGATTTTTTTAACATTTCAATTTTGGGAATCTTTCGACATTTTAATTTTTCCAAATTTTGATGCTTCGATTACTCAATCTTTTGATTTTAAAAATTTCCATATTTTTTCAACTTTTCAATTTTTGGAATTTTTGATTTCTTGATTTTTCAATTTTTCAATTTTTTACGTTTCAAAATTTTCAATTTTTAGATTTCTCAATTTCTCGATTAATTTATTTTGTTTCCCGATTTCTAGACTTTTCAAAGTTTCAGTTCAATCTTTCGATTTTTTAAATATTCGACTTTTCAACTTCGACATTTCAACTTTTCAGTTTCTCGATGTTTCAGTTTGGGATTTTTTAATATTTCGATTCTTCAATTTTTCAACTTTTAAATTTCAGATTTTTCAATTTTTCAATTTTTCGATTTTTTGATATTTTGAATTTTTGACTTCTCGGTTTTAGACTTTTCGGTTGTTCGATTTTTCGATCTTTCAGTTTTTCGAATTTTTAAAATTTTTTTAATTTTAAATTTTTCGATTTCTCGATTTATAGATTTTTCGAACTTTTAGTTCTGCAATATTTCTAATTTTCAATTACTATTTGAATTTTTGAATTTGCAATTTTTCAGTTTTTGATTTTTCAATTTTTTTAATTTTATTACATTTTGATATTTCAAGGTTTTGATTTCTAGACAACTTGGATATCTGATTTTTAAAATTTTTCGACTTTACGATTTTTAGATTTCTCGATTTTTCGAGTTTATCATTTTCTCACATTTTGTAACGTTTCAGTTTTGTGAATTTTTCAATTTATGGATTTTCAATTTTTCGACATTTTAGTTTTTTCAATTTTCTGATGTTTCGATTTTTGGATATCTTGATTTTTTACTTTTCGGATTTTTCAATTTTTCGATTTGTAAAATTTAGATTTTTCAATTTTTCAATTTTTTGATGTTTCGAATTTTGATTTCCCGTTTTTAGATTTCCGGTTTCCCAATTTTTCGAATTTAAAAATTTTTTATTTTTTGATTTTTCAATTTATAGGTTTTTAAATTTTCCGATATTTCAGTTTTTCGAGTTTTCAAGTTTCCAATTTTTGATGTTTCGATTTCTCGAATCTTCAACTTTTAGATTCTTCGATTTTTCCATATTTTAAGTTTCCGACTTTTTGAGTTTCAGATTTTTCGATTTCTCGATTTTTCAATTCTTCCATATTTTAATTTAACAGTTTTTTCTATTACTTATTGTAACAGGGCTTCAACATCGAGGTAAATTTTAGATTTTTCAGTTTTTTCGATGTTTCGATTTCTCATTCTTCTCTTTCTCATCGAGAAACTGAAAAGTTGAAATATCGAAGTTGAAAAGTTGAAAATTAAAAAAATCGAAAAATTGAACTGAAACTTTGAAAAGTCGAGAATCGGGAAACAAAATAAATTAATCGAGAAATTGAGAAATCTAAAAATTGAAAATTTAGAAACGTAAAAAATTGAAAAATCAAAAAATCAAAAATTTCAAATAGGAAAAGTTGAAAAAATATGGAAGTTTTTTAAATCAAAAGACTGAGTAATCGAAGCATCAAAATATGGAAAAATTAAAATATCGAAAGATTCCCAAAATTGAAATGTTAAAAAAATCCAGAAGTCGAAAAACCGAGATGTTAAGAAAATAAAACATTGACAAATCAAAGTGTAATTAAATTTAAAAAACTGATAAGTTGGAAACTCAAAAAGTTGAAAAATTAAAAATTAAAAAATTCGAACAATTGAAAGTTAGAACTAAAACATCGAAAATCTATAAATCGAGAAATCGAAATTTCTATAATTCAAAAAATCTAAAAATTAAAATACCGAAAATCGAAGTATCGAAAAATTGAAAACTCGAAAAACTGGAAGATCGAAAATTTTCTAAAATGAAAAATTGAAAAACCAAATAAGTTAAAACCAAGAAGTCAAAAATTCGAAAGAATGAGAAATCGAAACATCGAAAAAACTGAAAAATCTGAAATTTACCTCGATGTTGGAGCGCTGTTACAATAAGTAATAAAAAAAAATGTAAAATTAAAATATGGAAGAATCGAGAAATAAAACCTATAAATTGAAAAATCAAAAAATTAAAAATTTTAAAAATCGAAAAATTGGGAAACCGGAAATCTAAAAACGAGAAGTCAAAATTCGACACATTAAAAAATCGGAAAATTGAATAATTGAAAAATCTAAAATTTAAAAGTCGAAAAATTGAAAAATCCGCAAAGTAAAAAAATCGAAACATTAAAAAATCAAAAAATTAAAATGTTTCGATTTTTGGATATCTTCATTTTTTACTTTTCGGATTTTTTAATTTTTCGACTTTTAAAATTTAGATGTTTCAATTTTTCAATTTTTTGATGTTGCGAATTTTTGATTTCTCGGTTTTAAATTATTTGGTGTTCTCAATTTTTCGGTTTATAAATTTTAAGCGTAGATTCCTGAAATGAAAAAGCTTGTCTAATTTTACGCTTTTTATACACCAACATACCTGTCAGTAACATAAATGAAATATTTTCAATGATTACTAAAAACGGTCGTAGTAAAAGCATAGTGTGCAACTCGCATAATAATCAGACTTTCAACACTTTTCTTGCAGTTGCAGGTACACATTTCGTACGCGATTTTACTGATTTTAGAACTCAGCGGCACCAAAACTTAATGACGATGATAAAGTTTACATTTATCTACCATTAATTGGACAAGAATAAACCTTCAAAAAATGATATACGTGGATGGGTATTATCGAAATTCGCAGAGGTCAACTGTCCCTCAGTTATCCTAACAAAACAAGACAAATTTCGACGCCAAACTGAAGCGATAAGGCTCAAACAAAATTCTACATAAAACTGGCAAGTGATAAGTTATATAATCATGCAGTGACATTGTATTGTAGTGTGTGAATTTAGAAAATGTGTGACGTGCGGACTTTAGTGCACGTGCTTTGTTTGACTATCACAGGTAAGTCCAGGAAAACAACTCGGTTCGGAATGATGGTCACTTTTACACCCACACAAACCCAAATTTTTTAATTTCTTCCAGCCGTTCAAGTCAGCAATGGGTTGAGTTTTTCTGTAAATAACTACACCAGAGTGCGTCGAGAAACATCTTGCCCTGAAGACTTACCGTTCTCTTTGTAAGTTCACACAAAATCTCCTTGATCTGAAAAAGTATGTTCCCAAAAAAAAAAAAAAAAAATTGTAGACCTAGTTTTCCTTGCAACTCTGGTGAGTGCGTCGATGGAAGCAAGGAGTGTGACGGCCACAAAGACTGCGAAGACGGAAGCGACGAAACCGATGCCTGTAAAGAAATCGAGTAAGTGTTATCCAGTGTTTAAAAATTTTATTTTAATGACAAACATTTTGAATCCTGTGTTATGTGAGGTATATTTTCTGAATTTATCTATTTCAGTTTGTTCGTTGTACAAATCTTCCACAGGAAATAATAATGTAATTAAAACATTACGTTTATCTGTGGTGATTTGAATTTTAGGTTTCGTGACTAAGGAGCGGATTTATATGCAGAAATTTTGGTCAAAATATGCACAAAATTTCTTCAAAATGTGTTGGTAAATATTTAGTTTTATGCACATATACACAGTAAACTGCAAACAAAAAACACGAAAAATGTCTCTAAGTACATTTATTACTTACAACATATTTCTATATACCTAAAGCATAAATTAAACATTTTTTTCTTCTATCTGTCATTAACATTTTGTACGAAGAAACACTTCTGCATCAACAGTTCAACAGACGATTCTACATTAAAGTATCTACTGATTCGCCACTTAAAATTAAACTGATGTTTTTTAGGAGCCTGTAACCAATAATTTTGTTAGTTATCTTTTTTATTTTTTTATTTACAAAATCGCCTATTTTCCTGAAAAATATCGGTTTGAAAATTTTTAATTAACTGCCCAGATTCAGTAATACTTACTTACTTACTTACTCAGTTAAAAGGACATGCACTTTTATAACTTAAGACCCTTCTAAATTAAACTGGCTAAAGTAAACCGCAACGAACAAAAATTTTCAGGTACATTTATTTAGAAAATTACCGAAAAAAATTCAGGAAAGATGTTTTTATCGGTTTGTAATTAGTCTATAATCCAAAAAATCCGAAAAATCCAAAAAAATCCAAAAAATCCAGTGAATCCAAAAAATTCAGTAAATTGAGTAAATCAAAATAATTAAAAAAAAAAAAATTTACAAAACTAAAAAATCGAACAAACCCAGGAAAGTAAAAAAAAAGAAATCCAATAATTCCAAAAATCCACAAAATTGAAAATATCACAAAAATCCAATAAAATCAAAAAACGAAAATAAATATATGAAAATAAAATTATCAAAAGAATCGAAAAAATCCAAAAGATCCAATAGATCCGAAAGAACGAAAGGTCCAAAGAATTCAAAGAACCCAACAAATACAAAACAATCAAGAATCTAAAAATATTCGAAAAATTGAAGAATTTTAAAAATCCAAGAAATTAAAAATCCAAGGAAACCAAGACACTCAAAAAATTTAAAAACTCAAAACCAATAATTCCAACAATCAAAAAATCGAAAATATTCCACAATTTCCAGAAAAACGAAAAAAATCAGAAAATAAATATAACAAAAAATAAAAATTATAAAAAAACCGAAAGATCCAGATATCCAAAAAATTCAAAAGATCCAAAATATCTGAAAGATACGAAAATTCCAAAGGATCCAAGAAATCCAAAGATCTAAAAAATCCAATGGTCCAAAAAATGCCAAGTGTCCAAAGAATCTGAGGAATCCGAAGAATCCAAAGAACCCATAATATCCGAGAAATCCAAAAAAGTCAAAAAATTGAAAATATCAAAAGAAATAGAAAACCCAAAAATCAGAGAATGTAAATCCAAACAACCCAAAAAATTAGAAAATGAATTAAAAGAACAAAAAAATAAAAATTATCAAAAGAGTCCCAAAGATTCGAAAGATCCGAAAGATCGAAAGTTCCAACGAATCCAAAGAATCGAAGGAATCCAAAAAATTCAAGAATTTAAAAAATCCAAGAAATTAAAAAATCCTTGAAAATCAAGAAACTCAAAAAATCTAAAATGTCTCAAAAATCAAAAAAATAAAATAAAAGATTGTCCAAAAAATCCGAAACATAAAAAAGTTCAAAAGTTGTAGAAGATCCAAAAATCCGAAAGACCCGAAAGATCCACAAGGTCCAAAAATACAAAGGGACAAAAAATTCCAACGTTCCAAAACATTTAAAGAATCCGAGGAATCCGAATAATCCAAAGTATCCAAGGTATTCAAGAAATCCAAAAAACCCAAAAAATCGAAAATATCAAAAAAAAAACTAAAACCAAAGAATCTAAAAAATTCAAACAATATAAAAATCCAGGAAACTTAAAAAACAGAAAAAAATAAATAAATCCAAAAATCTAAAAAATTAGAAATATTCAAAAAATCCAGATATCCAAAAAATCAGAATATGAAAAAAAAAAGGAATAAAAAGTATCAAAAAAATCCAAAAAAGAATACAAAAAATTCGAGAATTAAAAAAAATCGAAAAATCGAATAATTTAAAAAATCCAAGAAACAAGAAACTCAAACAATAAATAAACAAAAAAAAACGAAAAACCCAAAAAATCCAAAAGATCTAGAAAATTTAAAAAATTGAAGAGATCCAAAAGATCCCAAAGATTCAAATATTTAAAAAATCCAAAGAATCCGAAGAATCCAAAAAACCAAAAAATTCGAAAATATAAAAAAATTAAACAAAATTCAAAGAATTTTAAAAATCCAAGAAACTCAAAAACTCCTGTAATTCCAAAAATCCAAAAAATTGAAAATATTCATAAAGTCAAAAAAATCAAAAAAATTAGAAAATGAAAAAAAGAACGAATAAAAATTATCCGAAAGATCTGAACGATCCGAAAGATCCGAAAATTCAAGAATTAAAAATAATCGAAAAATCGAAGAATTTTAAAAAATCCAAGAAATTAAACATCCAAGAAACTCAAAAAATGCAATAATTCCAACTTTCCAAAAAAACGAAAATATCCCGAACATCCAAAAAATACAAAATCAGACAATAAATAAAACAAAACAAAAAATATCCAAAAAATCAGACAGATCCAGAAGATCCAAAAAATTCCAAAGATCCAAAAGATCCAAATAATCCAAATATCTAAAAATTCATTAAAGAAATAAAAAAACAAAAAAATCAAAGAATTTAAAAAATACAAACAATTTAAAAAATCCAAGAAACTGAAAAAACTCAGGAGATCCTATAATTCCAAAAATCAAAAAAATAGAAATTATTCCGAAAGTCCGAAATTATCTAAAAAATCCAAAAAGTCTCAAAAGATCCAAACAATCCGAAAGATCGAAAGGTCCAAAGAATCCAAGGAACCCAAAAAATTCAATAAATTAAAAAAATCGAAAAATCGAGGAATTTAAAAAAATTCAAGAAAAACAAGAAACTCAAAAATTTAATAAATTTAAAAAAATCCAAAAATTGAAGAATTTTAAAAATCCAAAGAAACCAAGAAACTCTAAAATTGAAACATCTCAAGAAATCGAATAATTCCATCAGTCCAAAAAATCCACAATATTGCACAGTTTCGAAACAATTGAAAAAAAATCAGAAAATAAATAAAACAAAATAATAAAAATTATCGAAAATATACGAAAGATCCAGAAAATCCGAAAAACTGAAAATATCAAAAGAAATAGAAAATCCAAAAATCAATGAATGTACGTAAAAAATCCAAACAATATAAAAAGTTCAAGAAACTCAAAAAACCCAAGAATCCAATAATTCCTAAACATAAAAAAATTGAAAATATCCCAAAAATCCAAAGATTTAAAAAATCATAAAATAAAAAAAAGGAATAAAAATTATCAAAAAAATCCAAAAAGTCCCAAAGATTCGAGAGATCCGAAAGATCGGATGGTCCAAAGAATCCAAAGAATCTAAGGAATACAAAATATTCAAGCATTAAAAAAAAATCGAAATATCCAAGAATTTAAAAAATCCAAGAAACTCAAAAAATGCAATAATTTCAACTATCCAAAAAATCGAAAATATACCAAAAATCCCAAAAATCAGAAAATAAATAAAACAATAAATAAAAATGATCTAAAAAATAAAAAAAAAATCAAAGAAATCCGAAAGATTCAGAATATACGAAAAAATCCAAAAGATTCTAAAGATCCAGAAGATCTGAAACATCCAAAGGATCCAAAAATCCAAAGATCTAAAAAATCCAAAGGTCCAAAAAAACCCAAAAATCCAAAAGAACCAAAAATCGATAAAATAAAAAGAAATAAAAAAACTAAAATCAAAGAATTTAAAAAATCCAAGAAGCTCAGAAAACTCAAAAAATCCAACAAATCAAAAAATCCAAAAAAAAACAAAATCAAAATTATCCGAAGAATCTAAAAAATTAAATAAATCCAAAAATATTTAAGAAAAAAAAAACAAAAATCTTTAAAAATCAAAAAAACCAAAAATTTAATAAAATCTAAAAATATACAAATAACCCAAGTAACATAATTCTTATTTAAAATATATCAAATGTGGATTTGTCAGTACATTAATTTCTCTTTACGGTTAAATCTGAGGAAATAAATTAATTCTTCTGGACTTAACGCAACCAATAAAAGAAGGTGCGATGATGACGTTTTTCTTTTGTAAATATCAAAAACTAATTAAATTTTGTATGTACCAGGGGTATTATTTGAAGTTTATACCCTTGAGCAACTTACTACTATTATGGCCCCCAATGAACCATTTACGGCAACCTGTAAGAAGTGAGACACAATATGCAGTGGAAGGTCAAACTACGTTATAATAATCAATCTACATCAATCAGTTTAAAACAGGATAGTTCAGATATCTACTAAACATTTATTTGTCATACCATTGCATACATATAATCCGCTCTGTATATCATGATGTCATCAAGTTTCTTCTTCTCAATAATTCTGTCAAATATCATTCAAACACAGTAACAGGGATTCATAAAAGACCTGCATTTTTCGCTACGTCTTCTTTTATCAAAAAGCACCGCCAAGTTGATAACTTTTTCAAATGATCATCAGCCGCTTAATATCATTTGTAATCGAGTCATCCTTAGAAAAGATTTAGCATGCCGATGAACAAACCATACCGACAAATGTCAGAAAATTGCCAAAAAATATACTCCAATGGAATCTGTTGTATTGATGCAACCAAAGGACCTCGAAACTGCAGTCTACAGTTCATACCGCTGTTTATCCTTTTGAGTTAGTAATTATCCATTACTAATTTCTACAACCACTACAGGTGCGCTTACTTCATGTTCACTTGCGATTACGGCGCCTGCATTAAAAAAGAACTAGAATGCAACGGAGTTTCCGACTGTGCCGACGGCTCGGACGAATCCAGATGTCCAAAAGCCAACAAAATCGTCAACGACTGCAGGTAAAAACTACACCTAATTCTCAAAACTTCTTTCTAATGTGTACATTTTAGCTACAACGAGTTCAGATGCAGTTCAGGTCAGTGCATCGACATATGGTTGAAGTGTGATGGTAAAGCAGATTGTGTTGACCAAACTGACGAAATTAAAGCCACTTGTTTTGATGTTGAATGTCCTGGTACGAAGTACAAGTGTGAATATGGAGCCTGCACTGTTAGAAACGCTCAGTGTAATGGAGTAATTGACTGTTTCGACGGATCAGACGAAGCTCCCAGTGTTTGTCATAATGCAGCACCAAGACGACCTCCTCCGCCACAGCCTCTACCAACGCCGCGACCTCCTTCAGCAGCACCGTATGTTGTCAACATGACGTCTGTGTTGACTTTGGCGACATTGTTTGATTTAGGAGTAGCTGCGTTTTACCAGCTCATCCAGGTTCTGGGCACTGGTCAATTTTTGGGATAAGGAATAGACTGTCACCTGGAGCGGTGGTAACCCAAGGGACTATTCTCAACGTGGAGTGTAACCGGGGTTATAAATTGGATGGTAACAATGTCTTGTTTTGCAGAGGTGGGGAATGGTCGGCAAATGTTGGTCGCTGTCAGAGTAAGATGTTTCATTGGTTTTATGATCTTTATTGTTTCGTTTTTGTTGCAGGAGTCTGTCCGGTTCGAAAGAGTACACCAAATTTAAATGTTACCTGTGTTTATAAAAATATGGAAACGGAGAACTGCACGGAAGCCATCAATGGTACTCTTGTTAAGTTCAAGTGTGCGTCTTTTTATGAAAATTTTGATTTAAATAGACAAGCGGTGCATATATGTCAGGATGGTAACTGGGATCAGACGGAGCCGAAATGTCAACCAGGTTAGTTTTGAAGGCCTTTATTAATGTTTGAATTTTTGGAGTAATAAACACACTTCTCACCACATTTATATAATTATATAGCCAAACTCCGGGGAAAACAGTGGCGTGTGTAATCTTTACAATTTAGGCAACCATAATTTTTTTTGAAAGGCTGCCAGTAAGTCATATGTTTGTGTTTTGGAAATTTTGAATAATTAGTGCTCGTACTGAAATCATACAATTTTGTTGTTAGTGGCTAAAATACTTAAAACATTTAAGGAATTGGTAATGAGGTTATTATAATTATTTATCTGTTTGAAAACGCACAAAAACAGTTCGCAGAAAAATGTTTTCTTAATCACTACATTCCAAGAACAAAAAAATTGATAACTTGATAATAATTTGTTTGGGTTCAAACATGTCAAAAATGAAGATCAGAAAGAACTGAATTATTTAGCTGAATTCATTTGTAGCAGCGACCTCTAATCTGATTGAATAACTACGATCAATAGGAGCATAAACATTCTCTAATTTTAGAATCAGCACGACGAAATTTGTAACTTGGAAATTTTTGGCAACTTTTTCAAAAATGAAAATCTCGGCCAATTTTCGACAATTTTCAAAATTTAACGACATACATTTTGTAACAAATTTCGAACTCCAGAAGTTAGTTTCGGCCTCATTTCTTCGAGCTCTAACCATTTTTCCAGAATTGCCATATGAAATATTGAAGTCTTTTACGCTATGTTTTTGAACATGACAAAATTTGTATTCTAGAATTTTTTTGGCATCTCTCTCAAAAGCATTTTTTTTTAATTTGGCGAATTTTCGACAATTTTCGAAATCTAAATACATACATTTTTTAACAGATCTGTACCTCCAAAAGTTACTTTCGACCTCATTTCTGGGGTAGCTCCTATCATTTTCCCAGAAAAACGCATTGAAGTAATGAAATTTTTTGGATTAAAAAAAATTGCACCGAGTATTTTTAAATCCTACAATAGGAGCATAAAAACTCTATATTTTTGGAATAAGCATGACGAAATTTATAGTCCAAAATTTTTTTGGGAGTTTTTGACAACTTTTCAAAAGCAAAACTTTTCACGAACAATTCAAATGAAAATTTCGGCCAATTTTCGACAACTTTCGAAATTTAAGCAACAACATTTTTTATAAATTTCGACCTTCAGAAGTTTTGGACTCATTTCTTCGGCAGCTTCTATAATATAATATTTTTAAAACTTGTACCTGGAGCATAAACACGAGATGTTTTTAGAATCAGCACGAGGAAATTTATATTACAGAATTTTTTGAGAGTTTTTTGGCAACTTTTTCAAAAACAATTTTCAACATTTTTCCAAATTTAACCACATATTTTCTTATGAGTTTCGACCTACAGAAGTTAGTTTCGACCTTATTTCTTCAACAGCTCCTACTATTTTTCAAGAATCGTCCACTGAATTATTGCAATTTTTCAGACCGAATATTTTTAAATCTCGTCGGGAACATAAATAAAGACGCTATATTTTTGGAATCAGCATAACTAAATCTATATCCCACAATTTTTTGGGAATTTCTTGGCAACTTTTCAAAAGCAAAATTTTTATCAGTACCAACCCTTTTTTTCGGCGAATTTTTGACAATTTTTGGAATTGAACCAGAAACAATTTTTACAGGTTTCGACATTTTTCCAGAACCACTCAGTAAAATATTGCAATTTTTATGAATTTAAAAAACATTATTTTTGGAACCGAATATTTTTAAATCTTGCACCCATAGCAAAAATAAACACCCTATGTTTGCAAAATTACCACGACAAAATCTATATGTATCCTAGAATTTTTTGAGAATTGTTTGAGAATTTTTTCAAAATCAAACTTTTGTTTTGATAATTTTAGCCAATTTTAGACAATTTTCGAAATGTAAGCACAGGTCTCGACCTCCAAAAATTACTTTCGGCCTCATTTATTTGATAAAACCTATCATTTTTCCAGAATCATTCAGTGAAATATTACAATTTTTATGAAATTAATTTATATTATATTTTCAAACCCAATATGATTAAATCTTGCACCGGTGGCATATAGAATTTTTTTGGTAACTTTTCAGAAACAAAATTTTTCAATATGAAATTTCGGACAATTTTCGACAATTTTCAAAATTTGGACATTTTTGAGATTACTGCTACCATTTTTCTACAATTATGAGTATAAAAAACATTATTTTCGAATTGAGTGTTTTTAAAACACCGATAGCATAAATAAACACACAATATTTTTAGAATCGACATGACAAAATCTATATCCCAGAATTTTTTGAGAATTGTTTGACAATTTTTTCAAAATCAAAAATTTTGTTTTGACAATTTTAGCCGATTTTAGACAATTTTCTAAATGTAATAACAGGCATTTTTCACAGGTCTCGACCTTCAAAAATTACATTTTTCCAGAATCATCCAGTGAAATATTATAATTTTTATGAAATTAAAAAACTTTATTTTCGAACCCAATAAAATAAACACATTTTGTTTTTAGAATATTCACGACAAAACTTATCTCCAAGAATTTTTTGAGAATTCTTTGACAAAATTTACAAAATCAAAATTTTATTTCGAAAATTTCGGCGAATTTTCGACAATTTTCGAAATTTAACTAAATAGATTTTCGTATACACTTCGACCCCTACAAGTTAGTTTCGAACTCATTTCTTCGATAACTCCTAACATTTTTCTAAGATCACCCACTGAAATATTGCAATTTTTAGGAGTTTAAAAAAATATTTATATTTTCAAACCGAATATGATTAAATCTTGCACCGGGGCATAAACAAACAAAATTTTTCAATATGAAATTTCGGCCAATTTTCTACAATTTTCAAAATTTGACTTTTTTGTGATTACTGCTACCATTTTTCTAGAATTATGAGTATAAAAACCATATTTTCGAATTGAATGTTTTTAAAACACCGATAGCATAAATAAACACACTATATTTTTAGAATCGACACGACAAAATCTATATCCCAGAATGTTTTAAGAATTGTTCGACAACTTTTTCAAAATCAAAATTTTGTTTTGATAATCTTAGCCGATTTTAGACAATTTTAGAAATGCAATTACAGGCATTTTTCACAGGTCTCGACCTCCAAAAATTACTTTCGGTCTCATTTATTTGATAACACCTATCATTTTTCCAGAATCATCCAGTGAAATATTACAATTTTTATGAAATTAAAAAACTTTATTTTCGAACCCAATAAAATAAACACATTTTGTTTTTAGAATATTCACGACAAAACCTACATCCAAGAATTTCTTGAGAATTCTTTGACAAAGTTTACAAAATCAAAATTTTATTTCGAAAATTTCGGGGAATTTTCGACAATTTTCGAAATTTAACTAAATAGATTTTCTTATACACTTCAACCTCTACAAGTTAGTTTCGAACTCATTTCTTCAATAGCTCCTAACATTTTTCTAAAATCACCCACTGAAATATTGCAATTTTTAGGAGTTTAAAAAAATATTTATATTTTCAAACCGAATATGATTAAATCTTGCACCGGGAGCACCCATATTTTTGGAATCAGCACAACGAATTCTATATTCCAGAATATTTTTGGTAATTTTTTGACAACTTTTGAAAAACAAAATTTTTCAATATGATTTTGGCCAATTTTCGACAATTTTCAAAATTTCACTAAAGACGTTTTGTTATACGTTTCGACCTCTAGAAGTTCCTTTTGGTCTCATTTCTGTGATAACTTCTACCATTTTTCGAGAATTATCCCTGAAAATTGCAATTTTTTGAATTAAAAAAATCATTTTCAAACCGGGAACATAAACACCCTATCTTTTTGGAATGGGCACGACGAAATCTAATGGGGTTCTACAAAATCAATAAACTGGCTACTCCTTCGATTTATCGATCGTTTAATTTCCACCAAAGTAGAACATGATACAAAATCTATAGTTGGCATTATTGATTTCAAAATGACATTTGTTCCTTAAAGGAATGCTATGCTATGATATACGAAGTTGACATGACAGGCTAGACACGTGGCAAAGTTGGGTTTTTCTCACACTTGGCGTAATGTATTCTCAAATCAATGATGCCAACTTACAAGTTTTGTGTCCCAACTGAGTGCAATCCCGAAAGGAAATAATCGCGCGAGATTTGACTATACCATATGATCGAAAAAAAACCTCTAGTAGACCATGGAATTGATTTTTAAAATAATGAGAATGACAATGCAGTTATTTGACCAAACTGTCAAACAGAACCCGGACAAGTTGGTGTTGCCAACATTATTTTAAAAATAAATTTCAAAACAGTATTATACTAACTAAAACGATTTTGATTTATAATAGGGAAATGTTTGATTAAGAAAGCTTTCTACTCAGTTGATAAACACCTAAGTACTTAGATAAAAAATTCGATAATATACTGCGATTACATTTCTATTGACAAGTGTAAATATTTGTGTTCAAACACAATAAATTTATCTATCTATGTATGGAGTCATTACTCAGATATTCTATTCTACAAGAGCACAGAAACCATACAATACAAAACTAATTACTGTATATACTGCTCGTATTTATAAATATTTCTAGACTCTGTAAGCCACGTAGAAATGTACAACTATGTAAATGTTAATGACTTTTAAATTTATATAATTTTAAGTAGACCACCCTGTGAACTTATCAGATTACATGTTTCCTTTAATTGTTTACTTATTTTCTGTAATATGATTTTGTTGTTTATTTTAGTCTGTGGCCAAAAAACGGTAGAAGCCACACCCTTAATTATCGAAGGAACAAACGTAACCAAAGGGGAGTACCCGTGGCAAGTTGCCATATACAGAAAAAGTGACAATCTTCTCATATGTGGCGGATCACTTTTAAATCAACGAGTCATTCTGACAGGTTAATTACTTACCCGTTTCATTTTTAATTTTTTTCGAAAACGAATTTCAAATTTTAGCTGCGCATTGCGTAACGAACGAAAATGCCGAACCCTTACCCGAAGGAGACTACTTCGTGGCCGTGGGGAAATATTACAATAAATATGACGACAAACGAGACACCAAAGCACAGTTCTCTAAGGTACATATTACACTTTTATGCATTATTTTTAGAAAAATAATACAACTTCCAGCTGCAATCCATCCACATTTCCGAAGAATACGGAGGCTATAAACAGAACTATTTAGGCGACATTGCCATTTTGGTCACCGTGAAAGTTTTTACTCTTTCTCGAAGGGTCCAACCTGTCTGCTTAGACAGCGGACTAAATTTTAATGTAGCGAAAAACGAGATTGGCTATGTAGAACTTCTAACTTTATAACGATGTTTGTCTACGTTTAGCGCTTTTAGGTGACCGGATGGGGTTTCACCGTTGAAAATTCGTCCCCTTCAGATGTTCTAAAAGAACTCAAAGTTCCTGCGATTGATACGTCGCAGTGCAAATCCGAGCTCCCGGAAGATTATGACATTTATCTAACACATGACAAAATGTGCGCTGGTTATGTAGATAAAGGTATTTAAATTATTAAGTGTTCGACTTATGAATGAGAAAAAATTGTGATTTCAGGAATCTCGGTATGCAAAGGTGATAGTGGTGGTGGTTTGGTATTTAAACATGGTGATAGATACTGGATCACTGGAATTGTTAGTGTTGCTCCAGTATCGTCTAATAATGTTAACGGATGCGACAGTTCTCAATACGGACTTTATACGAAAGTCTCCAACTATATTAAGAGTTTTATATTGAAAATTCTTGCTAAATATGAGACTTTTGCGTAAAATGTGTTATGCTAAGGCGGCCTAAGCGTGCAGTCCGTCCTGAGTGATTGCTAATAAAATTTTGTATTGAGTTTACCTATGTGAGATGAGGATTCGTTATGAACTCATTTTAATTTAATCATAACTTGAACTAATACACAATCAACATCTTGTAAATTCTTTATTGTGTGAAATTCTTGACAGAGTGTCCCATAATTAGATTCTGCTTCTTTCTTCACGTGAATGTTTATCTGCAGTCTCGAATTTTGCAAGGAGACGCCCTTCGTGCTGCTGTCACTATGTCGCGTAGTTTGTTTTCACTAAGCTTTGGCTGTTCATATTGGAATTTGCAGCATAATTCAGGGTTCTCTTTTCTTAGTGTTTTTAAATTTATGATACGCAAATATTTGTATCGATATAGGTAACATTTGATTTCAAAATTTTGTGCACATATCTCATTTTCTCAAATTAAGTACCTAAGATATGATTAAACAAAATATTTATTACCCCATTTGAGGTTAATCCTTTATCACTTGCGAAAGTAATCAACAATTTAGTATAAATTTAATAATGATACTTTTAGCAACTAGCGGTCAAACTACTCTCTAATGGATAAGTTGACCTTGCAATGAAATTTAGTCAAAAATGTGGTCACAATGTGCTAAACTATTGTTATACTTATTTAATATTACAATTTGTTAACGTGAAACCCTCTATTTACAATTTTTTTTTACAAAAACAACAAAAGAGTAACAAAAATAAAACGGGATCAATCAGTCCATTACAATTCTTGAAAAAAGCCAGCTGATGGACTACAATATTGTGCATTTAATGAACAGAATGACCCACTATAAAAGGGTATAATGTCAAGTAGCTAATATAATTTTTACTATAAACTTTAATGTGTGTTATTTATTGTCAAGTAAGGAAAAGTTGGCATTCATTATTTGCTTAAGTGGATGATTTCGGGATCTGTTGTTATAGGGCATCCACGAAAATTGTGCTTTCACGGCTTTGACTCCTTCGCCACGCTTGTCAACGAACTTATGACACCACTCCAAACTTACGTAGCGAGTTTTTGTTGTTATCCTAAATAAAAGTGGGTAAAGCCAAAATCATAAAACCATTATTTTAGTACTTTGAAAATTACTCTACTTACTGCAAGTTCTTCTGATGTCAACGAGAGGTATGAAAAGAATGTTAATTGCTTTAATAAATTCGAATTATCTAATCACCGTTGATAAGACGTCAAGGAAAACATAATCCAAATATAATCCCCCTTTGATGGAGATGATTAAGTTTGAACTTGAATAACCCTAAACATTTCTTGCGGACTCTTCAATAGGTCAATATTTTTCTTACAACGGAGATCAATTGGGTGAATAACAAAGAACATAAATACCAATGACAGTGACACCAACTAAAGGTCGATTTATAAACTTGTCGCTGACGTTGCTGTTCGCCGTTGACGTTACCGTTGTAAGATACATACGCAGCGAAGGTATGCGTCGTTTTTTCTTAATATGTGTATTGTGTAGTCTTCTTTTCACAACAAGAAAGGTAAAACATAAAGCTAGTACCTGCTAAATTAAGACTGATTTTGGCAAATAACGTACTTTCCAAGGAAAGAGAGGGTGGGTGGGCGGGGCTAGTACTTGCTAAGATACGAGTGATTTTGGCAAATGAGATACATTGTATGAAAGAAAAGACAGGTAAGACCTCTGATGAATGGAGGGTGGAGGGTATATGATTTTGCAAAATCAGTGTTATCTTGGCAAGTATTGGCCCCGCCCACCCACCCTTTGTTTTCTTAGGAACTATGGTTATTTGGCAATATCAGCCGTGTCTGGACAACCACTATCCCCACCCTCCCGCCCTTTGTTTTTTTAGAGGGCTAGTATCTGCTAAGAAAAGACTTATTTTGGCAAATGAGATACCCTGTAAGAAAAGAGAAGGCGGGTGGACGGGGCTAGTACCTTCTAAAATAAGACTGATTTTGGCAAATAACATACCTTCCAAGGAAAGAGAGGGTGGGTGGGCGGGGCTAGTACTTGCTAAGATACGAGTGATTTTGGCAAATGAGATACATTGTATGAAAGAAAAGAGAAGTAAGACCGATTTTGGCAAGTGACATACCCTTTAAGAAAATGGAGGGTGGGCGGGGAGGGCTAGTGCCTATTGAGATAAGATTGATTTTGGCAAATGGCATACCCTCTGATGAATGGAGGGTGGAGGGTATATGATTTTGCAAAATCAGTGTTATCTTGGCAAGTATTGGCCCCGCCCACCCACCCTTTGTTTTCTTAGGAAGTATGATTATTTGGCAATGTCAGCCGTGTCTGGACAACCACTATCCCCACCCACCCGCCCTTTGTTTTTTTAGAGGGCTAGTATCTGCTAAGAAAAGACTTATTTTGGCCAATGAGATACCATGTAAGAAAAGAGAGGGCGGGTGGACGGGGCTAGTACCTTCTAAAATAAGACTGATTTTGGCAAATAACATACCTTCCAAGGAAAGAGAGGGTGGGTGGGCGGGGCTAGTACTTGCTAAGATACGAGTGATTTTGGCAAATGAGATACATTGTATGAAAGAAAAGAGAAGTAAGACCGATTTTGGCAAGTGACATACCCTTTAAGAAAATGGAGGGTGGGCGGGGAGGGCTAGTGCCTACTGAGATAAGATTGATTTTGGCAAATGGCATACCCTCTGATGAATGGAGGGTGGAGGGTATATGATTTTGCAAAATCAGTGTTATCTTTGCAAGTATTAGCCCCGCCCACCCACCCTTTGTTTTCTTAGGTAGTATGTTATTTGGCAATATCAGCCGTATCTGGACAAGCACTATCCCCACCGACCCGCCCCTTGTTTTTTTAGAAGGCTAGTATCTGCTAAGAAAAGACTGATTTTGGCAAATGAGATACCCTGTAAGAAAAGAGAGGGCGGGTGGGCGGGGCTAGTACCTTCTAAAATAAGACTGATTTTGGCAAATAACATACCTTCCAAGGAAAGAGAGGGTGGGTGGGCGGGGCTAGTACTTGCTAAGATACGAGTGATTTTGGCAAATGAGATACATTGTATGAAAGAAAAGATAAGTAAGACCGATTTTGGCAAGTGAAATACCCTTTAAGAAAATGGAGGGTGGGCGGGGAGGGCTAGTGCCTACTGAGATAAGATTGATTTTGGCAAATGGCATACCCTTTGATGAATGGAGGGTGGAGGGTATATGATTTTGCAAAATCAGTGTTATCTTGGCAAGTATTAGGTATTAGGATTTTGGCAAATGAGATATCCTGTAAGAAAAAAGAGGGCGGGGGGGCGGGGCTAGTACGTTCTAAAATAAGACTGATTTTGGCAAATAACATACCTTCCAAGGAAAGAGAGGGTGGGTGGGCGGGGCTAGTACCTGCTGAGATAAAGTGATTTTGGCAAATGGGAGACCTTGTAAGAAACTCTCTTCTTGTGCCATTTAACCAAAATCACTTTTATTTTTAGCAGCTACTAGCCCCGCCCACTACTATTAAAACAAAAAGACAAAATGTAAGCCCGCCCACCCGCCCTATCTCAATTCTGATGATTTTTTTATTCGCCGTGAACCAAAAGGGCGGAGCTTAATTGCAAAATACTTATTTCGTTACAAGAAATTAAAAACATGTTTTTGAGTATCGGGTTTTTCAAACAACACAATTAAGATTAAGAAAAAAGCCAAATTACAAACCCCGCCCACCCACCCCATCTCAATTGTGATGATTCTTAGAAACTTAAAACACGTTTAAAATGGTACATTTTTGTAAGGAAATATGGATTTTGCAATTGGGCTCTGCCCCTAGGTCTGCCAACGAATGAAAATTTCATTAGTATTTAGATCAGGGCAGGCATGTTTTTAATTCCTCATTGAAAAATAAAGATTTTGCAGATAAGCTCCGCCCCCTCGGCTCACGACGAATAAAAAAAATCATCACAATTGATATAGCGCGGGTGGGTGGGGCTACATTTTGCCTTTTTTTTAATATGTGTAGACTTATTCTGACAACTGTAACGGGAACTTCAATGACATCAGCAAGTTTATAAACCCCATTTAAGTTCCAACATACCCATAGATCATTAAATGTGAGCTTGGGATCCAAAGTAACTACCATTTCAACAGCGTATTTAAATCCAGCTACACTTCCGATGCATCACTGAAGAACTGAAGAATCTGTATAAACAAAAAGTTTGAATACCGATCGACGCAGCGTGAGGAAGCGCAACGACAGCGGCGCGAAGGGCGTCTCCGTGAATTAAACATTAAAACAACCACAAATTAAACCCTTCATCCCCCAGTCCACGATGTTATTAATTTGACTGATGAAAATTTTCAAGGTCCCTTCTCTCAAAATGTGTTCACTGTTTTAAATGAATTATCTTCGCCAGGAATCTGTTCTCGACAAGGTTTAAAATTAATAGGAACCTTAAGATTACGGTTATCATCTGATGAAATAAAACTGACAAAAAACTTGATACGATTTTCTCATCCTTAGCAAGCTCATGAGAACAGTTCATTTCAATTATTCTATATACTGGGTAGATACTTCATCAACATAGTTTCAAAAATGTGTTAAATTAGTTGATGTGCTCCCAGATTTTTCTTAAGATAAAGATCTTTAAAATCCTTTAAAGACCATCTCGGATAAGATAATCAATAATTTTTTAGGGATATATCTTTTAATACCAACAAAAATAATTCATGAAACAAGACCAAATAACTAAAGATCATAGACAAGCTTATCCCAGTCGACCGATTATATTATATATACTTATATTTAGTTTCTTGTAAATCCAGATGTTCTAAATACCATCATTTTAACTAGACCAACACAGTTTTACGTAAATTTTGGTTAGATCTGATTAACCCAACGTGAAAATTTCGATAACTAGGAAAATATGAATAGTTCGAATAATAGGACGAATCTTCAAAGATATTCAGCAGTTTTTGTCATTCAAGGACAAGATTCCACCAAGGATATAATTATGCGGGACAAGAAGCTTTCCAATATGTGTCACGGTAAAACTAAATTTAAATCGGCTCTTTACAATATGGTTCTGATTCAAAACTTCTTTGATCTGTTCTAAAACTTGATCTTCAACTCTAGCAGTGTCTTAAAAAGTGGTAAAATAAGACAACAGTTTACGAACATAATTTATTTAAGAATTGTTCAGTGCTTGCGACGGGTTAAAAATGGCGTAACAATACATAATCATGTAATCATCAAAACCTGAACACGTCACAGATTTGACTCCTATGTACATAATCTCTCTGACATGCTCAGCATAATAAAATATACATTATATACAAATTATCAACAATTAATAATTTAATTAAAAATGGCAACAGTGTATAAATTTACAGCTTCATCAGTCTCACTAAAGCATAAAGTTTTCCATCACAGATAAAACCATTATTTGTCACCAAGCGTCAGCAAACATTATTTTTTCTCTTCACCTGCCGAATCTAAATGTTTATTATTTTAATGGAGCTTCTTGGAAGCCATTCAACGCAATGAAGGGAATGCAAATGACTTACGTTACGGCTATCTTAATACTTAAATGTACGTAAAAAAGTAAAAATACTCATTCAGACCCACCCACACTCTAAGTCTATTTTGAAGTCAAGTCATCTGCACTCCCTTCACTCGCACTCTCATTATCATGCACACCTTGGGCTAGAGCCTGCTTTTTCACTTTCCATTCTACTATCACAAAACTGGCAGTGCCAAGAATAGCGAAAACCAGAAGAATCGCCAGCTGTCCATAGAGGATGAGCGCCGTGGAGTAACCAAAGCAGATGGCGGCAGCTACCGACTGAAAAAACCCGTATAGTTCTTGGGGTTACAACCATCCAGTACGTACCTGTGTAAATTTGAAGATAGCAAAAGCCGACGAGCTGTTCTCCGAGTACACTCCAGCGAGAATCGAGTAGATTTGGGTGTTGAAGCACGAGTCTCCCAATCCTAGAAGAAACGAGCAGAAGATAGCCAATTCCTTGCTACTGGTGATGATTGCTGTATCCATGGTGTCTTTGAACGGCGAGTTGTTCGGAAGATTCAAGAAGATGAGGAAGAAGCTGACCACGTGGACTAAGAATCCACCAATGACGATAGGGTCCCGGCCCCATTTGATAGTTTTAGCACCCAAGATACCAAAAGCTGCTCCCCCCAACACCTCCCCCACGCCAATGAAGATACCAGAAAGACCAACCAGTTCTTTGGAGTTATCGAACTGTTTAGTGAAGCCGATACTAGGGCTGTAGACGCCGCTGAAGAAGCCCAATTCCAGACCTGTTTGAGAAAAACATACAGTACTTGAGTAACATGTTTTGATCGTTACGCATTTTGATATCTGTGAAAGTGTGGTCATGACCAAAGTCTGTGTTATTATTTATAGAACAAGTGGAGGTGGTTTAATAAACTTTTATCTGAGATTTTCGATCTGATGGATGCAGACATTATCAAAAATTGTTTTTCGTTACGAAATGACGTAGTCGTCACACCTTTTTTTAGCTCCATTGTTCTAAATCGTCGTAGTTTTTTGACGAACCTGTGTAGAAGAAAGTTATCGTGAGGAGAAGCATGTCTCTGGTGAAGAACAGCTTAACGGCGCCACGAAGCGCCTCGATGGGTCCTTGTTGTCTTTCCGCCGGCATATCAGTCTCCGTGTTTTTCTTGGGTCTGGGTAGGAGAATCATGACGACGAGTCCGGCGATGGCAATTCCTGACAAAACCCAGATGACCAGGTTCCTGGTTGACTCTTCGATACGCTCTTTCCCTTGGAATTGGAAGTAGACGAACAGATTTCCGATAAACAGACTGTAATTGCGATTAACCTTGTCGAGGAGACTCTAGTTGAATAGCAATTGCTACCGACCTGAATTGCAACATTGCCCAAAAAATTCCAGAGTTCCTTGAAACGGTGGCTTGTGTGGAATTTAGAGTGAGGTAGTTGCCTTGTCCTGTCCATATTACGGCGGCTCCGCAGCCTATAATTACACTGGCTAAGTAGAGGAGCCAGGTTCTAGGGATCAGGAAGCTCATAATGAAGAGTCTGAAAATGGAAATAGATTACACGTTTATTTGAAACTGGGTTGTTATTCTGTGATTCTTAGAAAATCCACTTTAGTTTTTTTAATTGAGGAATGCGAAAGTTATTACTTACAAATATGTAACGCCTCCAATTAGCATAGCGAAATTGGGTCCTATTACGGATATCACAGATGGTGCTGCCCAATTCAATATTGACATAACAGCGTAAATTATAGAAAGACTAACGTAACCATCGCCTTCGAAGTCAGGATCATCTTGCTGAATACTGTCTATGATGGTTTTCTAAAAATAGAAAAGAATTCGCTGTTAAAAAGTAACTCGAAAAAAATCAAAAATGAAATGTTCTTTGAAATTTTTTGGTGATGACATCAGAACTCTGGCGTCACTGACCTTTTTTTAAATGGAAACCTCAGTTTATAGTGGCATGTCATGTGGAACAACTAGATACAAAAATAACAATAATGATATTAAAAAAATGTTTGTTTTGTTTTAAAATAAAAACTACTGAAAGACTAAGGTTTCCATTCAAAATAAATATCGATGACGTTAAACTGGTGTCATCGACCAAAATAGATATATCTCTACTCTATCTCTAATTTATTTTAAATTTTAGGAGTAGTAGGATAGTATCCAGATATAAATAAATAAAGTAATTTTTAGTACAAAAAAATTGGTCGAAAGTTATTTCGACAGAACTTCCCTTGCTTCTGAGGTACAGTCCAACAAATATTGCCTCTGTCAAAAATTATAAAATTTGAATTTGCTGAATTTTACCTTTTCGTGATAACTTCTATAGAGTAAGAACAATATAGAAGGTATTAGTCACAGAATAATAAAAAAAAGAAGGTTTCACCTTCTTAAAAGAAGACAGTTGGGAGCCCCGAGAAGATTTATAATTCTTAAAAAAAGACACTTGGGGCCCCCGAGAAGGTTTCGCCTTTTTTAAAGGACTGTTGGGACCCCCGGAAGGTTTCGCATTATTAAAAAAAGACATTTGGGGCCCCCGAAAAGGTTTCACATTCTTAAAAAAAGACATTTGGCTCCCCCGAGAAGGTTTTACATTAAAAAAAGACATTTGGTGCCCCCGAGAAGGTTTCACATCTTTAAAAAAGATAGTTGGGACTCCCGAGAAGGTTTTACATTAAAAAAAAACACATTTGGGGCCCCCGAGAAGGTTTTACATTTTTTAAAAAGACAATTGGGACGCTCGAGAAGGTTTCACATTCTTAAAAAAAGATATTTGGCGCTGCCGAGAAGGTTTTACATTTGTAAAAAAGACAGTGCTGGGACTCCCGAGAAGGTTTCGCATTAAAAAAAGCATATTTGGGGGCCCCGAGAAGGTTTTACACTTTTGGGCCCCCGAGAAGGTTTTACATTTTCGAAAAAGACAATTGGCACGCTCGACAAGGTTTCACGTTCTTAAAAAATGATATTTGGCCCTCCCGAGAAGGTTTTACATTTTTAAAACAGACAGTGTTGGGACTCCCGAGAAGGTTTTACATTTTTTAAAAAGACAATTGGGAAGCTCGAGAAGGTTTTACATTTTTTAAAAAAACAATTGGGACTCCCGAGAAGGTTTCACATTCTTAACAAAAGACATTCGGCTCCCCCGAGAAGGTTTTACATTGTAAAAAAGACAGTTGGAACTCCCGAGAAAGTTTCACATTAAAAAAAAGACATTTGGGGCCCCCGAGAAAGTTTCACATCTTTAAAAAAGATTGTTGGGACTCCCGAGAAGGTTTTACATTAAAAAAAACACATTTGGCGCCCCTGAGAAGGTTTTACACTTTTGGGCCCCCGAGAAGGTTTTACATTTTTTAAAAAGACAATTGGGATGCTCGAGAAAGTTTCACATTCTTAAAAAAAGATATTTGGCGCTCCCGAGAAGGTTTTACATTTTTATAAAAGACAGTGCTGGGAGTCCCGAGAAGGTTTCACATTAAAGAAAAACACATTTGGGGCTCCCGAGAAGGTTTCACATCTTTAAAAAAGATAGTTGAGACTCCCGAGAAGGTTTCACATTAAAAAAAACACATTTGGGGCCCCCGAGAAGGTTTTACATTAAAAAAAAACACATTTGGGGTCCCCGAGAAAGTTTTACACTTTTGGGTCCCCGAGAAGGTTTTACATTTTCTAAAAAGACAATTGGGACGATCGAGAAGGTTTCACATTCTTAAAAAAAGATATTTGGCGCTCTCGAGAAGGTTTTACATTTTTAAATAAGACAGTGTAGGAACTCCAGAGAAGGTTTTACATTTTTGGGTCCCCAGGAAGGTTTTACATTTTTTAAAAAGACAATTGGGACGTTCGAGAAGGTTTAACATTCTTAAAAAAAGACATTTGGCGCCCCCGAGAAGATTTTACATTTTGAAAAAAGGCAGTTGGGGCTCCCGAGAAGGTTTCACATTAAAAAAAAAACACATTTGGGGCCCCCGAGAAGGTTTTATATTTGGTGCTTCCAAGAAGGTTTAAATTTTTTAAAAAGACAAGTGGGACCCTCGATAAGGTTTCATATTCTTAAAAAAATACATTTAGGGGCCCCGAGAAGGTTTTACATTTTTAAAAACGACATTTGAGCCCTCGAGAAGGTTTCATATTAAAAAAAAAAAACTTTTGCGGCCCCCGAGAAGGTTTAATATTCTTAAAGAAATACATTTAGAGCCCCCGAGAAGGTTTTACATTTTTAAAAAAGACTAAGAGGGGCGCATTCTCACCTTTTCGAAAAAGTGGGGTAATTTCATCAATAAAAAATTTGTTATGACGTCATAAACATAGATAATATACAATGCGAGAGGAAAAAGAAAAAACGAAACGCCAAGTTTGGAATCGAACACGCGACGTCTTGTCTACATTCCTGACTGGTAACCACTAGACCACGACCGGAATGCCTTATGCTAATGGTCAACTGTTATTATACCTGCTTTATGTTTTTGCAAAAATTTGGAAGGTTAGGGAAAAACTCAAAGAGGTATAAATCAAATAAACATAGAATTCTGACGCTTAGGAAGGCAAAATTAAAATAACAAGAAAGTGATGCCACAAGCTTGTGAAAAACATTATACTGCGTGATTTTGAAAAGAATCGAAATATTTTAATCAAAAATCTTCAGGACCTAGAAGATACATGTCATTAACCTTATTTATAAAAATAAATTATTAGAATCTATTGGAAATTGTCTACGTCACTGACAAAGTTAAATTCGTCCATAACAAAATGACAAAGTATCAACAATAAGTTAAATTTGCTTTAGTTATTTTTTTATTTTGAAAAATTTGAGAAATGACATTACAATTATAACTTATTTTAGCACTTTCTCTTGTTTTTATTAACCGAGCTTATGCTAAAGAAGTATTATAATATGGTTTTTCGGCATGTCAGGAGCCCTAGATTATGAGAAAATAGGTCTCCCGATTTCATTTGTCTATCGTCTGTCTGTCAGCTGTCTGTCGTCTGTGTCGATTTTTATTAAACAGATAATCTCCGAAACTACTGGACCGATTATTGTAAAATTTTATATGTATGTTTGAAATATCGTGTAGACGGTAAAACTCTGATCAAAATTTGTCTAATTATCCCCCACAACAATTTGATTACACCACCTCAAAATTTTGCCTCGTAGACGTCATTTAATTTTTATAAAACAACATTGTATTGTATAATTTTTTAACTATATACTAAAACAATCCTAATGCAAAAAGAACGCAACTTCGATCTCGTCGCGGGTTCGATCCTCCTTTATGGGTTACTTTATTTTTTCTTACAGAAACTCAAAACGGATTCATAAACCACAAGTGCATGGGTATATTATTTTATAAAATTTAAATAAAATTTGCTGCTGTACAATTTGGAGATGACATGGTCACATTGTTGATGGGGATAATTATACAAATTTGATCTGTGTAATAAAAATCTACACAGACAGTAGACAGATAGATGGAAATGGGAGACCTCTGTTTACGTACTCTAGGGGTTATGAAAAGTCGAGATAATAATATTTTACAAATTTTGACAAAAATTGAACCCCAAGCAATTGATTATTATTGACCCTCATCAAAAATAATTTTTGACGTGAGAAAACACCCAAAATTTTTTCTGTTAAAAAGTTTAACTTTGAAAGGGCAATTTCTGTAACTCTTTATACCTTTACAACGAGTTCTAACCCTATTTAGTGGCCAACAACCATCACTAGATATATACAGTACAATTCTTTTAATTTTGGCAAGGTGTTGTAAAACTATTGCAATTACGACATGTGGTATGTTTCGTATTTACGCACTTCTTACCATTCTAGGGATGGAAGCGATACCTGCGTAAATACAGTGTGTTGGACGAAGACAGAGACAGAAACATACCATTTTACAACACCTTGTCAAAATTAAAAGAATTCTAATATACATCGTATATGCTGTTCCATATTTAACCAAAAAAAAAAAAAAAAAACAATCTTACTTTTGTTGTTTTGCAAGTTCAAGAAAACTAAGAAAAAAAGTAAAAATATCCTGAAAATATTGTAATTGTGTAATGTTTGTTTTCAATTCGATGATTTAACAATTAAGTAAGATTGCAGACCACAATAAGGTTGATAGTTTTTGTGCCGTAGTTTTCTCCTGATTGTCATGTAATAGTTCTGTGGCAAAAAGTCAAAAGGGGATAACTCGATTTTTGGCCAAAATGAGTTATTTATACCAATCGACAGCATTTTTAAAGCTCAGTAAACTGACAAAAGGGTATAACTCAGTTATTAAAACTAACAAAGTTTTTTTCTGCAAAAGGGAATATCTCAATAATTTATTTTAGACATAACGTTATAAGTAAAGATATTACAATTTTTGCTGACTAACACAACCGACAAAATGGTATATGTTCAGTTAAAAAAAATATTTATTTATATTGGGGTGGCAAAAGGAAATGTCTTCATATATACCGTCGTCTTTTGTAGGCTTCGATCCGACAAAAGGGACTATCTCGTGTTAAACCCTTATGTAAGTTTGACATTTACGTTTACTGAACTATAATAAGTTCAGATATGTCCTTTTGTCGGTTTTTATTTCTAGTTTTTCTTATTATTCGTAATTTTCCGGCACCTTCGAATAGTGCCGACAAAAAATGTTTATAAACAGAAGCACCCCATTCCGCTGCGGCATTCTTTTATGCGGTTTTGTCGGCGTCAATTCCTTAATTATAAAAACTGCAAAATGTTTACTAGCTATTTTGTTAGCGATCGGACGAAATTACTTATGCAGAAGTGTAATTTAGACGGTGGTAGGTAACGATAATTTTAT